GAGGCGGCGCCCGCCCCGGGCTGAGACAAGGGCCCAGAACGCGGGGAAAATCGGGGCAGGCAGCGTGGCGCCCCGGGCGCCCGGGCCGGAGGAGAGATGCCATCGTGCTGGGGCAGGAGCAGGGGCAGCACGCACGGGGGGGACAGCGGCGGCGGGGGCTCTGGGCCGGGGGAGGCTGGGACCCCGGGGAGGCGCGCGGCTGGGGTGTGGCTGGGGCGGCAGCCGCAGCGCCGGAGCAGAGGACGGGCAGGGGCCCCCGCCACCGCGCTGCCCACCGCCCTGGGGCCACGCCAGCAGCCTGGGGGGCACGGCCTGCCGCCCACACCTCCTTCCCGGCTCTTCGCAGACCGAGTCGCCGCCAGATGCACATCCTACCGCCAGCGTCCCACCCTGGGCCCCTGCGGCCGTGCTCCTGCCCTGTGTCCCCTGCCCTCTGCACCCCCTGCCCGCCGCGCCCCCTGCCCCCCTCTGTGTCCCCAGCCCTCCACAGGCCTGGCAGTGCTGCATCAGTGGCTTCCTAGCACGAGGTCCAGGTCCAGGGGAGCCCAGACCCACAGAGCGCCCGGGCAGCTCCCTGGGGCCACAAGCCCGTCCTGAGGAGGCTGTGCCCTGTCTTTCAGGATGGGCACCACGCGGCGAGAACCACCCACTACGGCTCCCTGCCCCAGAAGTCGCACGGCCGGCCACAAGAGGAGCACCCGGTAGTCCACTTCTTCAAGAACATCGTGAGTGCGCTGGCCGGGGGCCCGGCCGCAGGGAGGAGGGACTGGGGTTCCGAGTCCCTGGAGAGCAGGGACGCCCCTGGGTGTCAGCTGCCCCTTCCCGGGGGCAGTCGTCTCAGGGAGTTCTGTGCCCTTCCAAGGAACCTGCCCCTTTGGCTAAACTGCTATGAGATGCTCAGTTTAAAACAGGCTCCGTAAAACTACAGGTCAGTGGTCGGTCAGTGACAAGGGGCTGGGGAGGAGGATGAACAGGCAGAGCCCAGAGCATTTTTAGGGCAGGGCAGCCACTCGGCAGGTCACTGCGATGGTGGCCACACCTCACACAATGTCCAAACCCATGGGATGCGCCACACAGAGAGGGAACCCTAACGGGGCCTAAGGACATCGGTCAGTAGTGACGTATCAGTAGGTCACCAGTCCTAACAACCAAGCCACACTGATGCACAGGGAGACGGCAGGACCCGAGAGGGCGCCCTGGGAGTCCTCGGTGACTTCTCTGCGCATTTTTTCTAGAAACCTAAAACTGCTCTAAAAAATAAAGTCCAGAGACACAGAAGCAGAACCACAATCTTCTAATTAAAAACTTTCTGTGCAGCAGACACTTAAAGATGGTAGTTTCCATGTTCGTATGTGGGTTTTACAAACCACAGACCTGAGGGCATTCCTTCTGAATATCGGGGGACACTTTTCCTCCGACCTTAAAGAAGGGTGGTGGTGAGTGAAGTTCGCCGTCACCCTCGGTATCTAATGGACGAGTCAGAGGACGCACGCTGCGACGCGCAGTTCCTAGCTGTAGAGGCTTTGCTGTGCTGCCCGTCCCCGTAAGTACGGCCCGGTGCCCCGGGAGAGCTGCCGAGCACCGGACGGTTTCAGGTTCTCACCTTCTGTGTTTCCATTCAACTAGGACAGAAGTGGGGAAGCCAGGCAGTGTGCATGGCTTCCCATCTCTAATAGACAAAGACTCTGTCTGCAAACGGGGGCTAGTCAGGAACAAGGAAGGAACAAATGCGACTCAGACAAAGAGGGTCGGGGCTACTGTGGAGGGGGGGCCCGTCCCGTCCCCTCACCTTTCCCTGTGTGTCTTGTAGGTGACACCTCGCACACCTCCTCCATCGCAAGGAAAGGTAAGAGCTCTGAATCTCTTGATGAATTATCACTTTATGTCTAGATCTTCCCCGAAATCTCTAAATGTACCAAAGAGAGGGCCGGACCCATAGCTACCTGACTTCATCCCAGAATGATGAAGATAATAGTTTGCATGTTTGTACGTGGGTTTTAGAAGCCACAGACCTGAGGGCATTCCTTCTGAATATCGGGGGACACACATCCGTGTGGATCTCAGTAGAACAGGCTGAGAAGTGCATGGCGGTTGCCCCTCCTACAACCGTGCAGACAGTGCCAGTGGATCCCACACTCCTTCCCTCGAAGCCCTCCTCAGAAACATTCCCTGAGAAGCTCCGGGTGGCCGCGGCCAACCCCTGGGATATGCAGTGTGAAAATACCTGCCTGCCGTCTCAGTGCTCCATTGATTTGTTCCTTGTTTATTGTAAGAATGTTCTTTGCCTGCATTGACCTCAGTGTCATTCTCTCTTCCTCACACAGGGTCGGGGACTGTCCCTGGGCAGACTTAGCTGGGTAGGTGACAAACGCGTGCCGTGCAGCGTCCTCTCCCTTCCTGTCCTCACGGCCCCTCACCTTTACGTTCTGCTCTGTTTCCATCGCTCTGTGGCCCCACCTTTCTCTCCTGCCAAGCCAGGCTTGCCCGCAGCTCTGGGGGCTGCGTTCTCTCCCTGAGGGAGATGGGCGCTTCCCCACAGCTGGCTTCCAGCAGGGCCCAGGTCTCCAGGCCAAGCCCAGCACCCCCAAGGGCTCCCAGAGGACTGGGCCGGGCGCCTGCCTGGGGTAAGAGCAGCGCCCTGTTTCGGGAACCCCCGGCTTCCTCCCAGGGCTACGAGAGCCCAGTCCCAGCAGCCTGAGGGTGCGCCTGTCTCAACGAGCAGCCCTCCCTCTGGCGCTGGAGTTTTGTTGAGGAACAATGACACTGCTAAGGAGAGAGAAAGATGCTGAATCCAGTCATCCAGTTTATAATAACCTCATCAATCCCAAAGATGCTGGTCTTGTCTGTGTTTCAGTAATTAGTGAAGCTTAGACAGCAAGCCACCAGGGAGACCCTTTTTGGAATATTAGGCTTTGTAATACTGAGAACAAGTGGTCAATGAAGATTTTAAATGGCCAATTTGCTCACATTCTAGATACTAGTGATTTTTGGTGTCTGGGCCAACTTAAAATGCCTCTCAGTGTATTCTAACCAAACTTATACACAGTAGCTACTAGTAAGTACTACACATGGTTCTTATATTATAAAAGTCAACATTTTTGGAAGAAAAACCACTAACCTATGGCCAGGGATTGTCTGTCTTCAGAAGCCCATACACTGTTCTCTAGGGCAACGCCTCCACGTGCACGGCTGGATTAATAAGCATCATGTGGATGGATGGATGGATGGATGGATGGATGGATGGATGGATGGATGGATGGATGGATGGATGGATGGGTGGATGGAAAGAAAGAACAAGGAAGGACAAAAAAAGCAGAAAGGGAGGGAAAGGGGTCAAGAGTGCCCTCAGAGACAAGGAGACGATTCCGTAAAGGTCTTGAATTGCTCCAAAACATTATTACATGGACTTATAAACTGAGTTTTTGCTGGAACATTTTCCATACAGACATGTGAGCCCTTTTCTGACCTAACGCTTTCACAAAAGGATGATAATAACAGAAAGCTTGCATGGGAGAGTGCTCACAGCCAGTTCTTGACTTTCTGTGCTGGCAGGAGACAAAGATGATATTAAAGAATGAAATCCAGTTTTGACCCAGAAATCTTATTTTAATAACCACTTGATCTGCCTCTTAACTTCCTAGGCACCGACCCTGAGCACTGTGCAGCCCCCCAGGAGGCGCAGTGAGGGCAGGGAAAACTGCCCTCCCGCCGTCCCTGCAGGCCTCTGCGCCTGGCCGCTGACCAGGAGGACCGCTGAATGCCTTTCCACCCCTCCGTTTTGGGCCTACTAATGTTTCTTAAATTTCTCTTTCTTCAAAGCAAAGTTCTCTGTACTTCGTTCACTTGTGTGTCTGTTCTCTAGAGCTGCAGGACGGTCTTGCTGTTTGCTGTTTCTGAAAAAGTCCCCACATCCTTTTTGTAAACTATATTGTATGTTTCTGGTAAATTCTAGGTTGTCCAAAGAAACAAAGGACCAAGAATTTGAAGGAGGAAGAGTCGGGCAGACTGTCAATCTGAAAAGCAATCATTCAGTCATTTCTCAGAAGCGTTTAACTTTTGCAGGGAAGGAATAGAACATTTGGTGCTGGCACGTGGGTGTGATTTTCTACCATTGCATGTCTGCCCACACTGGGCACCGCAGCTGTTAGCTGTCCCCCCTCCCTCTGTGCCATCATAGAGCAGGTGCCTGCAAATCTCTGGACTCAGGGCAGCGCCGACCTTCCTCCGTCTCTGGTCTTAAACCTTCTCTGCCACACTCTCTGTCCCTCGCAACACTTGATGACCCTCGAAACCAAATCTTCCATGGAGGCATCCGCTCAGTCCTGACTGGCCAGTGTCTGTGTCCAAGTCCAGGCTGCATGAGAAGGAAACCGTGGAAGTAGCTTGGGGAGGGGAACCTGGTCAGATGGCCCAGCTCCTGTCCTGCCAAAACTGAGTGGCGGACTGGATGACCCTTGAAACTTCTAGACCCCATCTCCAAGGAAAGGGGTGCATTAGAAGGTTCCCAAGTTCCCTCCTGCCTGAAAACATGTTTATGAAACTTAAAAGGATTGCAGGCTTATGCAGGGGGTTCTGGGGTCTCCATGAGGGCACGGTTTGGGTTTGTTTACTAGAATTCTCAGGATAGGACCCTATGGAGAGTCTCCATTTCTTGTTGCAAAGCTAAGTGAGATCTCAGACCCTGACGTGGCGAGGAGGGCCCGAGCCGAAAGTGCACAGCAGCTTGCCCACCTGTGGGCACCACACAATCGGCTAGGGCACCCTGCCCCCAGGTGTGGGCAGGTCCAGCACCCCGAGGCCTGTTTGCCTGCTTATAGTCAATGCTCTCATTTGAAAACCAGAACACGCTGAAAAATAAAATGGTCCTAGGGACACAAATATATTTCAGCAGGCATTTGTCACTGCTATGTGCCACAGAGCAAACTTTCTTAGCTTCCCTGCAGTGAGCAGGCTGGTTGGAGGCAGGAGCTGGCCGCAGTGCAACACCTTGCTGCCACAGTGATGGCAGGCGGGCCAGTCCCAGATGCGGGCTGTGTCCTCAGGGCACACGTCCATTGACTCACAGCGTCCACACAGCAGCTCTGTAGGGAAGAGACCATTACTGCCCCCATTCTATGGAAGAGGAAACCAAAGTCAGAGAGGTTCCAACACTTGCCCCAGGTCACATGCCAGTGGGCAGGCTGAGACGGCCCAGGTGGCTGGTGCCTGGGGTGGGCTCTGCTGTGCAGCACGGGAGCTTGGCTGGCCAGCCCTGACCTGCGCCCTTGCATCCGACCAGCTGGAGAGCCTCAGGCCCTACCTAGGGAGCGCAGGCCCCAGGCCCACAGGGCCATGCTCCAGGTGCCCCAGCCATGGCCGGGGCTGCTGGTCATCCATGGAGAGACTCCTTGAGACCAGAGAATCAAGAATTTTGTCCTTAGGCCTTAGGAAGGTCCGAGCTGGGAAATGTCACTGAGCCCCCCCCTGGTGCTGCAGATGCTCAGTGGGGCCAAGCAGGCATGGACAGTCTGTGCGGACCAGGGGCGTGCGGTGCCTCCTGAGAGAGGGTGTGCCCGTTTCGGGACCCCGGGTGCTCCCCTCCTGCAGCCCACGTGGGTAAACAGTCTTCTCTTCAACCACACGGCGTGAAGGGAAGTGGCTGCTGCAGGCAGAGGTCTGGTTTAACGTGAAAGCAGCGGGCACGCATCTGGGAACACACCGGCAGCTGGGCTGGCAGCACCGGGCAGAGCTCTCCGCTCAGCCCAGCCGCCTCTGCTGTCTTACAGGGGGCCGAAGGGCAGAGGCCGGGATTCGGCTACGGAGGCCGGGCTTCCGACTACAAATCTGCTCACAAGGGGCTCAAGGGGGCCCATGACGCCCAAGGCACGCTTTCCAAGATCTTCAAACTGGTAACGTAACCCTTCTGGATATCGGGGCGCGCTGAGGCCGGGGTTGCCGGGGGCGCTGGGGCAGCCTCCTGGCCTCTCCCCGCTGCTTTCCCACAAGGCAGTGCGGCCCGCTTGCCCATGCAGCAAGAATTTCTCCAGGGCTTCCTGGGAAAGCCCTGTGCTCCATGCAGCACCCTGGGGAGCTTGCGGTGGGTGGCACCAGGCTCTGGCCGGGCCCTTTGGGAAGTGGGGGCAGCAGGGGGTACTGACCTCTTCTGGAAGGTCAGGCCAATGCAGCAGCATCTCTGCCCCCAGGGAGGGCGCAGGAGCCAGGCCGACAAAGGGCTGCCCCCGGGCAGACGCGAGGCCCCCAAGAGGGCCATCTCGACTAACACAGGCGTCGTCGTCACATGGACACAAGCCCACTATCTGTTAGCGCTGTGGCCTTGACCTGTGACCTGAGACGGGGTTTCCTCCTCTAAAAATAGGGTAACGTAGGACGAAAACTGTTGTGAGGGGGACGGTGGTGAGCGCGTGCACTGTGCTCAGCGAGGTGTCCTGCACAGGGACACATAGAAATGAGCTGCACTACCACTAGTAACAGTGACGACGGCCTTGATGGTGGCTGTCCCCATGGGCAGGCCTCAGGACCAACACAGCCACAGGCTTGCCCCTGTGGGTGAGGGGCAGACTGGCCGAGTGCCCCCGGCACAGGGGCTGAGTCCAGGCTGTCTGTGTGAGGGCACCAGGGGCCAGAGGCTGCCCAGCGCGGGCAGGGCACCTGTGGGCTCTCTTTGGGTGCTGGGAGCACCTCACCCAGCCCACAGCCTTCCAAGGGGCATGTGTCCCAGTGCTGGGGTGAGGTGGTCGGGGAGGATGCAGGGCGGGAGGCAGGCAGGCAGCTGCAACCCAGGAAGGGTGGCTGGGCAAGGCCTCCCTGAGCCGGTGGCATTTGGCAAAGACGTGAGGGAGAGGGGGCGCTGGCCACACTCGGGGTGGGGCGGCGTTCCGGATGAGGGATGCCAAAGGCCGGCCCCATCCAAGAGAGGGAGGTGGTGAGCAGCAGGAGGGAAGGGGCTCCCGGGGCCCTGCGACCCGCCTGAGGGCGCTGATGGTGACTGGAAGAGGGCGTCCCCGGGTGCCAGCTCTGGGGGTCTTGGCCATCTACGACTGTCTTCTGTTCTCAGGACACCCGCTGGGGCCGCAGCAGGAGACGCTAACATTAAAGGCTCTGCTGCGCGGGGCTTTGCTGCGTCCCCGCGTGAGGTCTGACAGCTGCATGGCGGGGCCGGGCTTCCTGCGGGCTCAGGTCACCGCGGTCAGGGCTCAGTGTCTGCCCGCAGGACGGAAGGCTCCCCAACCCCGGACACCACTGATAGGAGAGCTCGGCCCTGTGCAACTACCCTCTCACTGGCTTATTGGTCCATCACGGGTTTACAGCTCACAGTGGAACAGTTTGGTCTGTAACCCGAGTACAAACCGATTCGGTCACCTAATCTCGAAGTCAGCATCAGGTCCGGGTGTGGGTGTGTCCCGTGTCTGGGCTGCACGGCATGGACTGGGGTCCCGCCCACGGGTCTGCCTACTACACGTCGGGTAAAAGGCAGGCAGGGCCCACTCCTCACAGAAAATTCTGAGGCAAATCTGAGTGAGGAAATAAGTTCTACCCCAAACACTCAAGAGACCATCACGTTATACTTGCTTGTGCTGAGCCGTGGAGCNGGACTGGGGTCCCGCCCACGGGTCTGCCTACTACACGTCGGGTAAAAGGCAGGCAGGGCCCACTCCTCACAGAAAATTCTGAGGCAAATCTGAGTGAGGAAAAGTTCTACCCCAAACACTCAAGAGACCATCACGTTATACTTGCTTGTGCTGAGCCGTGGAGCATGATGGTAAGACAGTGAGGGTGGGGATCCCGTGGGATCCCAAGGCCCAAACCAGACCCTGCTCAGAACAGCAGTGCTTCCACCAGGGACCCGGGACCTGGGACCTGGCGCCTAGAGGTCTCCCGTGAAGCCCAGACCACTCTGTGCTCCCCGGGGCTCCCTGCACCCGCGTGTGCCAGGGCAGAGCCGGATGCCTGCAGATGTAGGTTTCCCCCTGGTCTGAGGCGTACAGACGTGCCCTACTGGGTGACTACTATGCTCCCAGCTGACGTGGTAGGGAGGCCCTGCTGACCTGGGGTCTACCTTTAGGGAATGTGGTTTCCGGAATTTCCAAAATCCAGAAGCCATGTCAATTCATGGCTTAAGACCCCTTAAAGTCCAAGTCTGCGGACGGCCCCACTGTGGCGCTGCGCCTTGTGCGGCAGAAGCGGGGCCGAGGAAGAGGGGGGGCCCAGGGATGAGGCGCGGCTGGTTCTTTGCTGGGGGGGCTGCGGTAACTGGGGGCTCATCAGCACCGAGGCCTCCCGCAGGCGCGGTTGTCACCGTCACTGTCCCGGACAGCTTCCCCAGCCGCCCTGGAGTCTGGAATCTCCAGCAGCAGAAGTAAAGCCCCCGTGCCGCATAGTAACACGGCGGTGGAGCTTCCACGCGCGGCGCGCCGTGTTCCTGCAGTGGGCATCAGCTCCCGGGGGCCCGGGGACCGAACGGAAGGGAAGGGGTCCCGTGGTCCTTGAGAACTCCGCACCTGCCGAAGGACGCTGTGGGCCTGGGCACGGCAGGGTCCGCCCCACGGGGCACGTGCCCGTCGCCGGGCGCGGAGGGCCGCCCGCGGGGCAGGGCCACGCTCACCCGCCTCTGCTTCCTTTTCTCAGGGAGGAAGAGACGGCCGCTCCGGGTCGCCCATGGCTAGACGCTGAGGCCCCGCCTCGCCACCGAGCCCCGTCCTGCGCTTCCTAACCCACCGCGCCCGATCCTAACGCGCTCGCCCCCTTCCCAGTCGCAGCAGCGACCTCGCCTAACGCCCGCGGCGCCGGCACGCGCCCCCTGCAGGCCGCTCCTGGCCCGGCGGCGGCTCGGCGCGGGCGCGGACGGAACCGGCCCCGGACCCCCGCCGCCGGGCCCGCGGGACGTGCGGGCACCGCCGTGGAGACGCTGCCGCGGGGACGGGAGCGCGGGGGGGCTGCGTCCCTCCGGCGGGCCGGTCCTGCCTGCGCGCCCCGGGAGCACGGCCCGGGGACGCGCAGGCCGGGAGGCTCGCACCGAGGCGGCTTCGGTACGTGGCGGCGGCGCGCAGCTGAGACGAGCTGGGCGCGGGGCGCGGCGGAGGCGGCGGAGGCCGGGCGGCGGCCTCGAGCGGGACACGGATCTTGGGGACGTCGGGGGCCCGGGCACCGGCGCGGCCTCGGCGACGGGCTGTGTCCCGCCGGAGCCCGGCCGACGGTGCGGGGAGACGCGGCGTCTCGGAGCGGCACGAGGAGTTTTCTGGTGGCCTCGCAGTGCACACTGGTTTTGTGGACGGCGGACAGTGGCCCGCGGCGCGTCACCACGGCGGTGCCCGTGACCTACTAACCCCCTGCCCGCCCGCTAACCATGCCCCCACGCCGCCCCCCGGTAACGTGCTGACCCCCGAGCTGCGCAGCGCGCACGGGCCGCGCGAAGAGCCCGGGCCGCCGCCCGCCTCCCGGAGCGAAGACGCGGAGCAGCCGCGCGACGCCGGAAGGCCGCTAACCCGCCTCTAACCCGACCGAGCGGCGTGCATTTAACACGGTTAACACACAGCCCCAGTCCTGACGGTAAGAGGGAGAAGCAAGGAGCACATGTTTGGAAACAAAACCTCCAGGTCGCCCGGCACGCGCTCCACCACTTGGAGCCGAGCGACCGTCCGTGGCCCCGCGGGAGGGCGCGCGCTGTGGCGACGGGCCCCGGGGAGCGCACCGTCCCCGAGTGTCACAATAAAGCAAACGTTCAACGACGTCTGCGTGGCTGTCTCGTTCCCTCCTCCCGGCCGGCAGGGCGCGAGCCCGCGGGAGAGGGAGGCCACGGCCCCGGGCGAGCGGGAGTCGCCCGCAGGGCTGCCTGCGGGAAGGGGCGGCGCGCGGCTCGGGCGCTGGCGAGACAAGGGGGCCCTGAGCCGTGAGCCCCCTGACTCACAAGGAAAAGGTTCGTCCGTGTGTCTTCAGGCCATGTTTCAAAGTGGATTTGCATTTTATTACCTTACCATCATGTCAACGCATCAGTTAATAGGAACTGCTGAATCTCTGAAAATTTACTTTTTGCCACCCAGAAACATCGACAGTTAGTGATTTGGGAAATTTCGGGTATAGCTGCTTTTGATTATGATTATTCTCTTTCAAGAAGATAAACCTTTTTTTGTTTTGTTTTGCTTTTAACGAAGGTTCCCTCTGCCTCAGTAGCAGCTGTCGGAAGCTGTCCGCACTTGCGGGCCCAGCCGGGGGAGCCCCGGGTGGGGGCGGGGGCGGAATGACCCAGCCTGCTCTGGGCCCCTCAGACTCCACGCCCAGGCCACTCCCTGCGTCTGCCCTTCTCCGCCCAAAGCCTTCTGAACTGAAGCAGTTGGAAAATCACTCAAAGTTAACCACATTTTAAAAATTGCATTCTCTTGGTTGGCAAGCCTATTTTAATGTTACACATAGAGAAAATGCAGTTAGTGGTAAACCGAGGGTATATCCCGGAGTGACAGTTTGCCATGCTGATACATCATTCAGATAAACATTTTTAAGTATAACAGTGCAAAATCAGAGCTGAAGCATGGAATGCGTGCTTTCACTGAACACTTCCCTAAAGAGGTCTGCATACGTCCCCGAAGCTTGAGTGCAACATGATCTGTCAGGCTAAGCCCCGGGGCCCCACCTCGCCCTCACCTGGGGGGCTTCCCTCAGGGACCCGTTGGTAGCAGAGCTGGAGGCGCCCAGAGGGCCAATGGACCGAAGGTCTCCCCATCGGAGCACAAACCACGACGGTCATGCCTCCAGGGTATCCTGTCGGTGTGCCTGGGCTCCCATGTGCCACTCAATCCCGCTGGGACTGTGAAGGTCCCCCTGGTCGCCGGGGCAGGCTGGTCCCTGGAGGGGGTGGAGGGGCTGCAAGTAGGAGGCGCCGGGCACCCAGGGAGCCGACTCTGGACAGAGGGCTGAAGTGAGGACGCAGTCTGGTGGTCAGGTGGGTGCAGTGGATGATAGTTCATAGACACTGGAGCAGCTTGCTTTGGCAGCATCTGCCTAGCAAGTGCAATCAATTCTGCACTTTCAAGAAGCACGTTGCTTTCAGCAGGCACCCTCACTGGCCCCCCGAAGGTGCAGGCGTCTGGGGTCCCACCACAGCCACCTCCGCTCGCTTGCCCCCATGACAGGCCATCACAGGGTGGCCGGGCCGAGTTGCCCCAGGAAGGCATTTTTAGGTCAAGACCGCAAGCATTTGTACAAGAACTACCCCTGCCCCCTGTATCAGCACCGGCCAGGGCCCTCAGCTCTAAGGTCGTTTCGTTTCTGACTTCAAGCCATGAAAGCTGACTGAGAAGGGAGGGCCAGCAGGCGGAGCGCGAGGCCCCGGGGCGCTCACGGCCCCCTTGGGAAGCCGTGCTGCAGAGGCCCGGCCAGCAGGACCTCGTGCTCGGCAAGGGCCCCAGCACTGCTCCGCAGGCCAGCCGGCCTCTCTGCTGGGGGACGACACAGTTTCCCGGGGGCGTTCCTACCAAACAGCCGGGAAAGGAAGCGGGCAAAGGTAGTGCTTGGCTGGCAGGACTAGCAGAAGCGAGAGGCCTACGGGGAACCGTCTCCCAGCACAGCACAGCACGGCCACTGAGCACAGAACCAGGCTGCAGAGTGGGAAGGGATAAAACTCACCAGCTGACTTCAGACACAGGGCACAGGCCTAGGGAGGCAGAGTGGCCCGAGGAAGCCACTCAGCACCAGCACCGTCTGGGCCTGGGCTCCAGGGGCCCTGTCAGTAGCTGGGCCAGGGCATGAGGCAGTTTGTAAACTCACGCCTTTGGGTGTGTCTAAATGTGAACACTCTTACACCACAAGACAGTCACGTGTTCTGGAAAACTCTGGAGAAGCACTGTAAGACGTTGAGGCGATCCACTGAAGAGGGGACAAATCTTCGATCATCTACTAATTCAAAAAACCCAACCACCTCCTTCTCCACCCATCATATCTTACAAACCATTAGAGCAACATTCTTCCTACAAATAAGCAAGAATGGCAAAATAGTTTCTTACCATCCCCTCTGAGCAGAGTCTGGGGAAAAATCAGAATCATTTTAGCTATTCCAACCCCAAAATGAATGAAGTCCCCAGCTCTGAGATGGGAACAAAGTGGACTAAGAAAAAAACACCCTTAATTTCTTATTTCAAGTTGATAGTAACTCTTATCTATGAGCTTCTAAAAGTTTGAAAATGCTTTTAAAAAGGATTAGGTGCTATAATGTAAACTAACTCCACTGGTATTAGGGGGAAGTTCAATTTCCCATAAATCTTATGAACAGATAAGTGGACATTATGATTCATTTTCAAGTCACTCTCAGAGAGAAACAAGAGCGCATTAGATGCCCTCAGACACAAAGATGCCCTTACGCTGTGCAAAGGCGGGCATCTGTTTCTTGCTGTGTGAACCCACACTGAAAACGTTACCTGGTGAAAAATGTCCATCTTTTAATAGGTGTAACTCACCCCAAACTGGAATAAGTAAATATACAGGAGTTTTAAGATAATACAAAAACTATTTTTATTATTCTTAAAGCCAGTACAGTGGCTTTTGGCATTAACTCCCCATTTTGAATACAAAATTGGATTAAATAAATATCATCCAATGTATAAATAGACCATGAAACAATTTTAAAGATTAAGAAGAGTTCTTCGGTAAATTAAAAAAAAAATTAAAATTTTCTCTAGTGGTGAATCTTGAATGAATCACTTGTCATTTTAGAATTTGTCAACTAGATTACAAATCTTGATTTTAATACACAATTCTTCATGCTGTAAAGCTTTACACATAAAAAAGATTAAATAGCACAATCTTTAAGGATTACTGTCTATCGCTCCTGCCTCTTACATTGCCACTTGATCTTTATTGTTTAGTACTTTAAATATATTACTGGTCATCCGAATACACCACCAGCACCTCCATGTGAAGGAGTGTGTGTGGGCCTCTGTGGTGGTGCCACTGGGCAGGGAGGGGGTCACTTCAGAGCAACAGGGACAATGAGGCCCTCGGTTTAGGAACCTTACCAGGCTTCACCAGGGATATGTTGGGCTTCTCACCCTATAAAAAGTATGCCTGTCCTCGCATTTTAAACAAAGAAGGTGTAACTAGATTGTAAAAAGCTAGTTTTCTTCAGAATAAGGTAAAGAGACCCTAAATGTGTGTGTAGTCAGGCACTTTAGAAATTCTGTTCTGAGAACTCCAATGCACATTACATGAATAGAGATTAAGTGGCAAAAAGAAGAAATCTCAATTCAGAAGGTATTAATTACATGATTTCACCTCTGCCTCACTTTATACAATAGATTTTAGAAAAGGGATAAAATAGTAATGATCAAAACTTCAGTTAACTTTTGATGAAGGGAAAATAGTCTTTCGCAAAGAGGAAAATCCATGGAAGAGAAATCTAATTCTGCTTTTTGACTCTCGCACCTGTACGACTGTGCGCATCTCTTGCACGGAATGGTAGGAGCGCGGCCGAAGTCGGGGACCCCGGGTGGGACTGTAAAGCTCAGGTCCACGTGTCCGTAACAAGCAACAGCGGGCCGGAGGGCACACGACATGGTACTAAAGGAACCTTCCCTGGTCAAATGCTGGAAACGGCTGAAAGGAAGCTGGATGCAATGATGGGATCACCTCCACACCCACCTTGCCACCGGCCAGAGGATGGGCCTACCTGGAGCTGGAGGCCGGCAGGTTGGCCTCACTCCGTGCACGATTTTCTTGCTTCCAGTCCAAGCACCCAAGTGTTAATCGGGGGGAAAAGGAGGGCTTGGGGGTAGGAGCATTTGAGTTTACATTTTGAACAGATGTTATTTTAATCTATAGCTATGAAAATATGCCCACTAGTGCATCCCTAATGGCTGGATCCTGTGCGTACTGGCTGCCGCCCTATCACAGGAGTGCCCAGTTCTAAGTGCAGTATCTGTGGAAAGGGAACCCATCCTTTCCACTATTTAAGTGCTTCACAGTTTATTCTACCACAAAAGTGGGCTAACAACAGTCGTGAACATTCAGAGGGAGTTAAATTTTCAGGGTATTGTTCAGCATGGTCAATAATGAGAATGACAGTAATGACGTATGTAGCTAAAAGAGATGATATGCCTGTCATTGGCCCCATCCTGATTTTTAAGGTATGAAGCTCTTCAAACAGACCCTGCAAGGGTTAAGCTTCATCATCTGGACTTCACAGAGGTCCAGAAAATATCATTTGAAGTTCTTTTCTGTTAAAAATTGTCTTGAAAATTAATTCATGTGCCAAACTAGTCTATATTAAATATTTTTAAAAATCACATTTCCTCGCTTCACTTTTCATTATTATTACAAAGCAGATACGCTATGATGAGGTATTTCTAAAAATAGTTATCTAATCCTCAGCACTCTGCTTATGCAGGAGGCCAGAAATCTCATCAGACTTTTTAATCAATGAGTGAAATACAAAGAACAATCTGTACTCCACCAAAGGTTCAAGCGAAATCATGTCTTTACAAAACCTTACACCCTCAAGAAATGTTTTGCAAAGCAGCAACTTTTATGATTAGGAAGTAAATTGAAATAATACATTAATGTCTCACGTTTGCTAATAAAGGAAGAAAACTCACAAAATGGATCACTGATTTTTTTTTCCTTTTCTTTCAACCAAAATAAAAGTTGGCTTTAGATTCACTTGGTAAGGCCTTAAACAGGCAGTCACCAATAGAGTTCACTAAACTATGCTTTCTGTACAATTAGGAATTAAATCCCTTTTAGAGACTCTCCTGAGATGATACTTAATGCTACAACCAAAATAAATAACCTAGCAAGGACAAATAATTTTTTTTTAATTTTAGTAATTTCAACTTTGGGGATATTTGTTCACCAAAATTCATCAATATTTCTAAAATTTTTTAATACAAAATTATAAAAGAAAAGTGCATTAGAAGCAGAACTTTTAAAACTCTGGCACAATTACAGTTATTCTGAACATACTGACTACAGCCAGGTATACACACTGACATTCAGAGAAAACTTCAGGATATAAAATAAATCCAGTATCACAAGAATAAGTCAAATAAGGCTTTGTTCCTTAAAAAAATATACAATACACAAAGCAGTTTGAAAAAAGAAATATTATTTAACAGTTCTCTGACTTAAATATTTTTACATAACAAGTTTTTATATCACAAATATTATTTATATACATATGCCAAAGTGAACAACAAAAATTTTGAATCCAAAGATGCCCTCTCAAAAAATAAGAGTGAAATGTCTCTTTCTTCAGGAATCCCGATGAGCTCCTCCCTTAATACACACAGTCCACATGCCGGTCACAGCACCGCCCTCTCCTGAGACCAAGGAGGCAGCCGGAGAAAATAAAGGCGATTGTTCTTCAGGAAAACAAAAAGAGAACAAAAAACAACCCAGCTTCATGTTACAATGAAAAAGATATCCATTTATTAAGAAAATGAATACAATACTGATCTGAAGCGCTCAGAGGGAGGGAGACACCAGTGCTGGCTCTGTAGCCGGGCTAGTGCTTATATTCACAAAATATACTGTTCGGCCACACAGAGGCCCATATATCTGAATATGTACACATGTATTTATATATAGAACATATAAATAATTTCAAAGGAGAAATTCACATGAAATAAAGGACTTTCCATCTTTGGAATGCTGTAGGAACACGCACACCCCGACCCAGCATGGGGTGGGGTCTGGTCTGGGACAAGTTTACTGTGGCACCACTGATGGTATCAAAGAATTCCCTGAAATAAAAAATACACCTGCTTACGCATGAAGAGAAAATCATGGGGCTTGTATGGGTTTCTCATCCTTCAACCGCGTATATAATTCTTAATCACTGGGTGGGCAGGGCCGTAGTCACTTTGTTCCTAGGAGGCAATTCTGTTCTTCCTAGTCGTAATGTATGGCTTGTGCTTTCTGAAAAAATCTAACCCAAGTACCTGAACACTGATTTCCTAAATGACGGTGGCATCGTCCAGTGCAGACAGCTGGGTCCGCACCTGTATGTCAGGGTCACAACTGCCCTTGGTTATGCCCCAGACGCTGCATTCTTGTAACTAAAGACTAGGTGATCTGCAGTGGAGAGAGAATTGGTCCAGCCATCTCTCAAGATAATTAGTTATATTAACTTATGGTAGACTAAAAAGAGTCAAGTTCTAATTTCAAAATGCACAGAGAAAAAAATGGAAAGACTTCTCTGTGTTCTAGTATTTTTTCTGAACTTCACGCACCTATCTTATGTTTGTTTTATAAGCTATGCTTCTTATAACAGAAAGCATGAAGGAAAATCTATCTTAACTTTTCCATGTTATTTTTGTCTTTGCTAATACAAAGAAATCACACTACAGTGGCCGAAGGATCCAGTCAACCTCTCTTACACCAGACACATGGCCGCAGGGCAGGAGGCCCGCCCACTGCAGTACCTGAGCTCGGATTTGCAGAGGAGACGCCGCACTGACGTCTTCCCCAGTTTTTCCTGTAGGTCTCTAAAAGACGATGATTCTTTAGATAATTTTATAGCTAAAAACTATTGTGATAACATTTTTAACACTTGAAGCTTCAAAACAGAAATTCCAAGTGCTTTGTTCTTCACAACATGTACTGCAGACACGGGGTCTCCAGGTGCCGTCAGGCAGCGTCAGAACACATTGGCCAGGGCCTGCCACTCGCCTGCCGACTCCGGCACCACCTCCTCCAGCTGAAGGGTCCGGCTCAGCTCCTCCCGTCCCTGCTCCTGGTGGCCGGCGGAGTCTTGCAAAGCTCCTGTGGTGCAGACAAGGAAATGACAGGCTGAGTCTGAGACAATCAGTGTCACAAAATTAATCACACTTAGATAAAGGCACTCTAAAGAGAGAGGGCACATTTCCCAACTGATTTGCTCACCATCCCAGTGGAAAGAGAATACTTTGAGTTGCAGGTTAAATCACTCTGTTGGTAATGACAATTACTGGTCATCTGAATTCTGAATGTGAAGGCACTTGTTGCAAAAGCTCACTCCCACGAAGGCTATGCTAACAGGTCAGCGACGAGCAATTGACAGTTAATTATATTAATAATGATACGCATGGTTTTTCTAACACATGTAAGGCAGGGAGCACTGAGGCATCTGAGTCGGACTCTGTTTTTCTTCGGCAAACCCCCAGAGCATGCAGTCTTGTGCCCCTGGACACTGACCTCACCTGCTAAGGTTCACTTGACTTCACCCTTGGCCCACAGCACTGTGACAGCACAGTGACCCTGACATGCCACCCACACACTTGGGATTCCTGTGGGGAAGCACCAAAGGCCCAGCCACTTCCACCCTTCCCAGCTCATCCCCCTTGGGTGGCTACCACCGGGGCCTAGGCCTGCCTGCATAAGGCCAGTGTGTTCCCAGGTGCTGTATGGAGGCAGTCGCAGACTGGCAGTGGCACCCTGCAGAGTCACCTGCTCTGTGGCATCCACGCCAGCAAGTCAGTATGGAGAGACTTGGCCTGTGTTGTCCAGACTTGCCCCCGCGCCTGCTCTCGGGGGTGCAGGATGCAGGCAGCTCCCCCCACCCATCCCCTAGTAGGTTGGCCTGACTCTGACCCCAGCCCCAGGCCGCAGACCGCAGGGGAGGGGCTCCCGGCAGCCAGGGAGGGGACGGGCGCTGCCTGCTCCTAGAGAGGACCGTCTAGTGAGCACGTCCCCGGGCCCCGTGGAACCGGCTCCCCGGCTGGGAGCACGTCTCACCTGCGTGGCGGTGGGCCCGCTTCACGTGGAGCCTCATGTTGCTCTTCTGCGTGAAGCCCATGGCGCAGTGGTCGCACTTGTAGGGCCGCTCCCCGGTGTGTTTCTTCATGTGCACCTGCAGGGCGCTCTTCTGGTTGAAGGCCTTCTCGCACAGGGTGCAGGGGAACGGCCGCTCACCTGGGGGAGCAGTCACGTCAGGTCCCTCCTGAGGCCGCCCTCCGGCACTTCCAGGACAGATAATCCCGGAGAACGCGTGCAAGCTCAGAAGACCACCATGGCCTTGCTGCTGCCCTCGGACGCTGACTCCCAGGAATCCTGCAAATCCCCTCCGAGGGGAGCTGCCGGAGCCCCAGGAGTCCCAGTGCCCGTGCTTTCTAGAAGCATTGGAAATAAGGTAGAGCCCATACGGTTTAAACAAAATGTTCCCAATACATTTTGGACAGTGAAGCAAAAAGCCGTTAAGGACATGAGGATATCAAACCCACTTAATTACAAGTATGATTTACACAGTATTTTAAAACTATGCTATTTAACTGCTTTCAAGTTACTGTAGAAACTGAAAATGGAAGGCACGGTGCTGGGAACCTGCCTCGGTGGGCCCCACCCTGGGATCGGCCCCCAGTGCCCAGCTCCCCTCCCAGTGGGCCTCCCGGGGCCCGAGCTGTCCCACCTGCTCTCAAGGCCCTGGAGCCAAGCCACCTCCTGTCCCAGGGCTTGGCACAAGCCTCTCCTCCTGCCCTGGAGGGTTCTTCCCCACCCGCTCTGCGTAGCTGCCTCCTGGTCCCATGTCTGGTCCCTCCCCTGGGTCCCATGCCAGCACGCGGCCCCGCGATGGCTCCCGGAGCACCTGCCCTGGCCCGCGCCCAGGCAGGGCTTGATGGTGTGTGTCCACTGGCACCATGAGGCCCCCTGTGCTGGCCGGGGCCTCTGGGGGTGGCAGTGGGGGGTCCAAGGTGAGCAGTGGACTTCCTCGGAGCCGGGGCGGACAGGACACAGGTATGGGTCAGGAAGGCTTGGCGGGCCGCTGGCAGACACCTGGCTCCCTGGAGGTGCTCACATGGGAAGATGGTTCTATCTGCCTCCTGGGCTTCAGTCTGGCCGCTGTGTAAACACAGGGCTGTGGGAGCAGCAAGGGGGCCAGCACAGACTGAAGGCTGGCCCCGTGGGTCTGGGGAGACTGTGGCGCCCACAGCAGGGCAGGGCTGGGGCAGAGGAACAGAGGCAGGCTCAGAGGTAGGGGCAGCCCTCAGAATCCAGGCCTGGGGCCGGGCTGAATGCTGGGCTGACGCCTGGCCTCGGGAAGCCGGTGGCAAGGGTGCGTCTGTGGACTCAGGTGGGTCACCACAGGGATGGGCCAAGGGGCAGAGAAAGACGGGAGTCTGTTTGTTTTCTCTAAGACGAAAGACTTGAGCAGACTTAGGGGGTAACAAAGCCAATAAAGAAGAGTTTAAAGGTATAAGGGAGAGATCAGATGTGAAGTCGTCTAAGACAGGAGGAGGAGGCGCCTGGAGACGGGACCTGGGAGGGGGGCCTGGGAGATGGGGCTTCGGGGGGCGGCTGGTAGACAGGACCCAGGAGGGGGGCCTGGGAGATGCTATCAGTGTTTCCGGCCAGTGAGGCAGTCCTTAACTGGAAGGCTTCTATTTTGCATGGTCATAAGGTAAAGAGCAAAATATTGTCTTGGCAAAGTTAGCATGACATACTGATGAAAAATTAGGGAAAAAGAGGAGTACGTGGACCGTGCTTTATACGGGCGCATTGCATCATAAAGGGGCGTTCCCTGTCGCGCCCTGCCTTCTTGGCCCCGCAGTGCCCTGCCCACCGCACCTGTGTGGATGCGGCTGTGCCGCTCCAGCTGGCTCGGCTTGGCGAACGCTTTCTCACAAGTGTCACACTTGAACACCCTGGGCTTCTGAGAGCTTAAGGAAGGACCGGCTTGATGGGTCTGCATGTGCTCCTATTGAAGACAACACAGAAATGAAGACATAGTTGAGATCATAAGGGGACTTTATGGACTGTAAACAGTAAAGCAGAATCAGCTTAGAAACTCAAGTCAGCAAGGACAAAAGTCTCCCCGTTTAGTGTCCTCAGGGGTCCGTACCAGGGGTGGTGCAGCCCAGTGGCCTGGCCAGCCTGGGCTCGGCAGGGGAGCCACGCGCCCTGTGTTCTCTCAGAGCTTCCTTGTCATGGATGACCCACCTGGTTTTGGAGGACCTCCCTCAAGTGCAATTTTCCTGAAATTTTTCTTAGGATTAGCCCGAGGCCATGGGCCTGGGGAGGGGACATCATGACCCTACCCGGCACCTCAAGGATATTCACACCATGCTCCATGACTACTGGCGTGGCCCTGGGCCACCTGGCTGCTGTGATGCCTGTCAGCTTCCTCCAGTGTCCAGTTCGTCTGCCTTCTACCCTCTGCCAACATGTGCCCTCTGGCAGGGAGGGGAAGGGACTGCCTGCAGCTCACACGTCGGGGTGGGGAGGTCGCCCTCTTGGGGCACGTCTACGTAGTTTACCTGGAATCCTTCTGCCTGGGAGATCTGTCTCCTCTCTCCTCGATTTATTCAATCAACCATGCTTATGTCAGCAAGGATCTATGGATACTTATTCTGTACTGTGGGCTACAATCCCAGTCTTTGTTTTCTTGCTCCAAGTGTTCCAGCTGTGGCCACTGGGGGCTCTTCCACTTGGCTGCTCTGTGCCTTCGACATGTTCCCCAGGTGTGTGTGTGTGTGTGTGCGTGCATGTGTGTGATAAGCATTTCCTTATTTTCTGGCATAACGTGATTTTTTTAAATCCCACATTTCTTAAGGTCATCAAGAGAAGGTAGCTTAAAAGTATAAGAATCTCAGATAGTCTTTCAAACTGTGTAATACCATTTCAGAATGTTTATGGAAAAGTTACACCTTATATATAGTTATATATATTATTTAAAACATCTTAAGATATTTTATTCAACCATTTTTATTCTACTGCTTCTTTACAAGGGCTGATTCTCTATTGGACAGCCTTTTGGGTAATCTGAGTAATTTCTATCCTCCCTATTAGGAGCTAAGCACTATGAGAGCACTTTCTATTCCTCAAAATAAGCAGAAATGTAAGTACTAATAGCCTTATACCACTGTAAATTAGGAAACGGAAGCTGTCGACGTCACATGACCTGACCAGCAATGTCACAGAGATTCTCAGTGGTACAGTCGATTCAAATGGGGCCCGGCTCAGCAGCAGCATGCAGCACCCTCACAGGGGCAGCCTCTGCAAGGACAGCGTGACCCGTGTTCGGTGTCTAAAGATGAACATGGAGCCCTCTTTTCAAAGTATATAAATGGTGGGTTCCTCAGCTCAGGAAATCGGCAGACGACAGGTGAGAAGCGCCAGACCAAAGGGGGCGCTGGGATCCACAGTGCATCAGCCAGAGGGTGCTGCTGCAGTACCCGGGAAGCAGGGCACACTGGTCTGAAGGTCACGCCGCAGTGTGCACACCGCCCCCGCCCCGAGATGCCCAGTTTATTCAGCTACTGTGCACCTGTGGCATTCGGTGGTTTCCAACCCTTGGCAGTTAAAAACAATGCAGCACTGAGCAGCCGAGGTGGCTGATAACCTTGGGGGCACCACCTGAGTCCCCCCAGGAAGCTGTGCCAAGTTCCCCAGCAGTACAGGAGCCCCTACTCCCCACACCAATAGGTGCTGACAGGTTTTCTATAGCTGCCACTCCCAAAGGTGATAAATGGTATCTAAATGTTACTTTAATTTGCATTAGACACTGATCTGAACCACACACGAATATGCAATCTATTCCTCTGTCCACCCAACAGACCTATTAAAAGTAAAACACCCTCGTTAATGCATTTACCTCCATCGACATTTTCCTCAAAGAAATTGAAAAATTTGTTAACTCGGATCTTTTCTTTCCACTAGGAAGATCTGTGACCTTTACCGAATTGGAGAACCTGCTGAGTGTGTCTGACCTTGGGGAAAAAGCTGCAGCCCTGGGGGTGACGCAGCCCATGCGGGTGTACCTTGAGGTGAGTGGCGCGCTTGAAGGCCTTCCGGCACATGGGGCAGACGTGGATGCGCTCCCGGCCATGCACCTCCCTGCTGTGGTGCAAGAGCACAGCGGCCGACGAGCAGGTGCGGCCACACTCCAAGCACTGGTGCAGCCGGCCCTCCTTCTCAGGCTGGCCAGTCGGGCCCAGGCTGGTAGGGACGTCAGCTACCTGGGGAGGGTCAGAAATCCCATGTCTTTACTCAGCTGGTGCAGTTTGTGAATCGCAGATGACAAAACGATGCTAGATCCACCCAGCCCCAGTGACGTCTGCCATCCTGGGTCAGCCAGGGACCTCAGTATCGTGTTAGATGGCATGCGCCCATCACTCAGGATGCTGGAAGGGCCCTGGGCCCAGGGGTCAGAGCGCAGTACAGCCCCACAAGCGTGTGACACACGGGCGCAAGCCCAGCCCCAACACTATCGTGGCCTCTGTGCTGTGCCCTGAAGTGCTGTGTGGTGAGTGCCTCCCAATGTGGGGCTGGTGGCCGCTGATGAGCTGACAGGTGGGTGCCTGGCACACAGCAGATGCTCAGTGCTACTGAGGGTGGCACGAGGGACACTGCTGAGGACACTCTGGCTTCACCCGAGGGTCTTTCTCAGCCAATTGCACGAGAAACAATGCTTAGTAGGAAAGGTGTTTTTAGCTTTTGACTGAATTAAACCATTTTCCCCAAATTTTGGATCACAATCAATTAGTAGGTTTTCAAAATATTTTAATGGGATTCCATCAACACCCTAAAAGTAAATAAATAAAGCAGGAGGGATTTACTACTCAGCTTTCATGAACTACAGAGTTCAGTTTGCAGATGAAAATTTCTGTCATGATTTAGTGAAAGATAATCACAGACAATTAGAAAGAAAATTGATGGGATTAGTCAATATTTCTGTTATTTTCCATTTATCAAATACTCTTTTTCATAATACCAGAATATACAGAAAAAGATAAAATTTAAAGAAAAGTAACAAAAGGTTTCTACAAGGTTTTTAATATTATTAATCTGTGCTATAATAAAAAGGAATGGAATGAAGAAAAGGAATAGAAAGGATCAGAAGAGCAAAGATAATGCCAATATGTCCCTTGCCAAAAGGTGGGCACTATTTTGAAACACCTGTGTCAGGTGTGTGTGTAGTTACAAGTGTCTGTGTATGAAGAAAAGGAACACAAACGTGTGTGTTCAGGCTGTTGCATGAAGTAAATTTTCTTCTGAGTCAAAAGGAGTTTGGAATCCACTAGAGTAAATGACACTCACGGGCTGCTCTGTGGCTGTGGATACAACCGCACGGTTAGGGCAGGTGGTGCCTAACCAGGTACAGTGACCAGCCCCAGTCAGCAGGCTGCCGGACATTGTCCTGTCACGCTTCCAGTACCTACCCATACACACACAGACACCGCTTCTGGGTCAAGCCCTTCATTCACGAGAAGGGAGCATCCAGCTGTGCCCCTGCCCTGTGACCATGAGCACCAGCGGCTTCTGAGAGTCCTGCGAGTCCTTCCAACACATCACTGAACTTGAGTGGGGTCCTGGCAGCCCCCAAGACAATGTGCTCAAGGTACAGGAGGTGAAAATTCAGCTAGGTGGGCTCTGGCTACTGGGGTCACTGGGGAGACTCCTAGGGACGCCGAGGTCTGATTTATGAAAGATCAATGAATAACTATCTTGAAACTCATTTGCTAAAACTACTTAAGTATAAGATTTCATGCTTCATGAAGTCAGAGATTATGATGTATACTTTACTTCTAACCCTGAAAAGTTTTAAGGGAAGAGTTTTTAGATACTTCTGTATTTCGAACTATCATTTGCTGAATGTTTTTGGAAAAAAGGGTTAGTCAAATGACAAGTCACGCACACACACACAATGTGTATATGAAAAACTATACACATAACACGACATGCACATAACAAGATATGAGAGAGTCAGCAGAGGTATCACAAGAAAACCTTCAAGAACTAAACACAAGCAAGTGGCCAGCTGACATGTGATCAGGAGGCAGATATAAAGACATATTAGTAAATATAAAACCAGACTTATACACTACTAGTCACTAGGGCTCACCTATGGTAATACAACCCTATCCCAAGGAAAAACAACCACGCAATGAGATCCCATTATTAGCCGCTCAGCACATGCTGCCCAAGACCTCCCAGGGCTCCGTGCCCGCTCCTCACTCCCCAGAACCCTCTACCCTCTACCCCAGACCTTCCGAATCCATGTTTTTTTAAAATCTAAGAACAAAGGGGTTAACATCCAAAGTATATAAAGTACTCATATGCCTCAATACCCAAGTAACAAATAACCTGATTTAAAAAATGGGCAGGGGACCTAAATATACATTTCTCCAAAGAAGAAATATAGGTGGACAACAGGCACTTGAAAAGATGCTCCACATTGCTGATTGGCAGGGAAATGCAAAGCAAAAACACAATGAGACATCACCTCACACCAGTCAGGATGGCCAACAAACAAAAGATAAGAAATAAGAAGTGTTGGTGAGGATGTGGAGAAATGGGAACACCTCCTACACTGTTGGCAGGGATGTCAACTGGACAGCCGCTGTAGAAAGCAGTATGGAGGTTCTTCAAAAAGCTAAAAATAGAAATACTACAGGACCCAGTAATTCCACTTTTAGGAATTTACTTAAAGAAAACAAATCTCTGATTCAAAAAGATATATGCACCCCTATTCCTATTGCTGCATTATTTATAATAGCCAAGATATGGAAGCAACCAGGGTGTCCATCAATAGATGAGAGAATAAAGAAGAGATGGTACACATACACAATGGAATACTATTCAGCCATAAAAAAGAAATCCCACCATTTGCAACAACATGGATGGACCTAGAGGGCACTATACTCAATGAAATAAGCCATGCAGAGAAAGACAAATACCATATGATTTTACTTATTTGTGGAATCTAAAATCAAAACAAAATAAAATAAACAAAATAGGAGTAGACTATCACAGACATTGAGAAGTGACTGGAGTTACCATGGGAGAGGGTTTGGGGTGAGTGAGTGGGGAGGGAGATAATAGGGCACAAAAATTCTCAATCATAATCTAAGTTGGACACAGGGACGGAAGTGCAGCATGGAGATAGAGACAGTGATTCTGAGACATCTTCCAGTGCTGACAGGTAGTAACTATGCCAGGGGGGTTGAGGATTTTATAATGTGCGTAAGTGTTGAATCACTGTGATGTATACTTGAAACCAATATAAGACAGCATATTAATTATACTTCAATTAAAACAAACTTAATTCTTAAAAAAATAAAAAACTACAAATGATCGTGAATAAAAACATATCTTCTGTACCTGGTAGGTGATTTCTTCACAAGCAGATGATGGCTGTGGGGTGTGGCTCAAGAAGATGACTTGGGGTGAACCTGTACCCCCTTGGCCGGAGAGAGAGGAGTCTGTGAGTAAGGCTGGGAATTGCTGGCCCTGGGAAAGAGTGGTTAGTTTAGAGGCTGTGACATTACAGAACCCAGTAATAATTTAAAGATCGTTTATGGTACAGTTGCTCTGGAAACCAAGCTGGCAAGTCCTCAAAAAGTCAAGCACAGCAACACCAGCAAGTCCGAGAGAAATGAAAACCCACGTCCACTCGGCGATGGTATTTTCGGCATCCCCATACACCTATCAGTCAGTATTTTTTTGCACACATGTGGAATATACTGCAAAGTTCCTACACGTACAATAAAGCTTCGTGTTCATTATGTCCCTTCCACAGGGAAGCTAGCTGAATATGGCTGCTTTCCAACAGCTGTCACTTCTGAGCTCTTTGTTATGTGTCTGCTGCTGTCTTCTGTCACCACTCATATCAGACCACCCGATGTGGAAAAATGGTGCCAATCAAAATTAGTAAATTCACATCTCATTTTATTTAATCCAAGACAAATATAATTGCTGGCCAGAAATTCTGACACATGTAAGAACTAGTGTTGGCGCAAAAAAATCTATATTATCTTAGCCAAAAGCTAAGATATTTAAGACTCTTATGCAGGTTTATCAGGAGGATAACAATTCCTTTTCATTCTGAGATGAAAAAAATCATTGACATGAAGAACAGATTTGCACCACCAGGGACAGGGGGGTAGGTGTGGCTGCCCTAGAGTAGCCTGAGGGGCCTGCTGGGAGGGACACAGTTTGTGTGGTGGTGGTGAAAGGGACAGCACGTGGTAGTGATGCCCTACAGTTTCGCAAGATGCTACCACAGGGGGAGACTGGATAAAGAGCACACGGGGCCTGTGTTATTTCTCACAATTGCCTCAAAATAAAAAGGTTAATTTAAAGAACACCCTGAATACAATATAATTTATCAGCTTCTCATTGATGTTTCAAGGACTAATATTAAGTACCCTAAATGCAGACACCCCCATTCAAAAGCAAGCATCTGATGAAATACACCCTTGACCTGCATCTGCTAACACCGTGTCACCTGAGAGCCACTTTCTCTGGCTTTATTGTCATCACTGGCTGTGTTTCTTTCCTCGTCACATTCGGTTACACACACTGAGGTGGAAGTTACAGTAGCTCTCCTTCCCCAAGTGCCCATGAATCTGTCAAGCAAGTGAGCACGGCCAAGGAGTGGGGGCCTGGCAGCCACGCCAGGATCCCATGGGCGGGAGGGAAGCGGGTAACACAGATTCCAGCCCCACCACAACTGCTGAGGCAACTCTGGACAGTGAGACCCAAATTCTGATGTGCGATCTGGGAAAGACTGTTTAAAAACGACCAAGGGTTGGCCACACTGACGGCGTGCTGACATATTTGACTTGCTACTGAACACCTATAAATAAACCTGATTTACTATTTGCATGTACTCTATATATTTTTTCTTAGGAATTCATACTTTCATTGACCTATACAACTCTTAATAGACTTAAAATAAACCCTGTGCCTTGATGAAAATGTCCAGATATTTAGAACCAATAAGGATCAGCAAGAGAAGCTGTAGGAAGATGAAAGCCGGTGGGGCATGAGTTAGGACGGCCTCACCCAACTGGGCGAAAACAGGTCCGCTTAAACTAAAATCCAAGGCGGCTGCTTAGCATTGGCTTTTCTGCACATTAAGAGTCTTTAATGAGACTTGTCAATTTCTGGCTCAGCCTGAAGTCAAATTTTAACTATTAAAACCTCCACAATTACATTTACATGTCTAAATATATCAAGTTTTAAATGTTCTGCACCAGGCCAATTGCATTAATAGAGTTTAAAAAAATTCTACAAGAATTTACATAAACAGAATTCCCTTCAAGAATAAATCAATTAGTTTGTTTTGTTTACAGAACAAGAACTGAAAAATCACTTTGCTTTCTTAAATATTTTTAAAGTGTCTGTTTGCATTATTTCCATATAAAGTTGCCAGAGTCAGTGGCCCAGCAGTGACCCCAACTGTGAGCAGCCTGGCTCCCACCACCGCTGGCGTTCAAAGTTTGGAAAGAAAAACCCATCTCAGCTTTGCAACTGAAAAAGAAATCTTTATAACTCATTAACTAGTTTTTTATAACTTCCCTACAAAGGTACTTTTTAATGCAGGTCTATTTCCCATCATTGCACTTTAACTTCCACTTCAACAAATGATATTTTTAAATAAACTAGTTTTGCTCCACATCAGAAGGACCACTTATCTTGCATAATATTCTTCTATAGTTGGGCTACTTTCAAATTTTAAATTGTAATTAATTATGGACTTACAAGAATGTATTCTTTCTAAACATTCTCCTGTTATGGACTCAACTTTGACCCTTGGACATAAAATATTCAATATTATTTAAGTAAATTATTTAAGACTGCCTTGCTTTGTTTTTAGAACAACTATCTTTTGTGGACTTCATAAAGAAAGAAAAAATTTTTAAATGATACTCAATAAATAAATATTATTTTTGTAACTTTTTAAAAATTTGTAATTTATATGCTTATACTCCTGTTTCCTCTCAGTACCTTTAAGGAAACCCTGATTTTTTCATGTGCTCTGGAGAACAATGTGGAGTCATTTGATTTCTTGACATTTTACTCCATTTCAGAGTCCTTATTTTCTCATTAAATTCAAGTAGCACATGTTGTGAGTAATTTTAAGGGAAATTAAACCATTTGATATTACATCTTAGTGAATAACTCTTACCTCTATCAAACATTTATCATTAGAAACTGGTTAATTTCTCATAATCATCTTTTGATTTTCAGGTCAGATTTTTATGATGGTAAACAACCCTAAAAATTCACGAATTTACAGATATTTTCACATATGTTCACTAACTTCAACAATAAAATGATTTTACTTGTGCAATAAAAAGATGTTATTATATTTTTAAAAATGCCACTCATAAAGCTAAGAAAGGTTTGATCTGTTTTCTCATTTTCAAGAGTATTGAATCAGTGTAAGTATAATGAAGTTTAGTAGCTACAGAAAAGCTGTAAAATTTCTGTTGAAGATTTTTAATATTATATTTCGTACCACTTGATGGCCTTCGGATCACTAGAGCGCAGACATGGCCACGTTTAACATTTCATTCTGAAGCCCTTTTTGGAGAACCTTTCCTGGTAGCAGGACAGTCCCCAGCCCCAAGCTCGAAGCCCTGCCGGCAAGGCCCCTGTTGGCTGGCGCACGGAGGGGCAGGGCCTAGCCAGACACTCCCGGCCTTTAAAAATGGAACCTAGCAAATGTTCAGAACTACTCCCTGCACTTTCACTTTAACAGTAATGAATAATTAATTCTCAAAGTGATATAATTTAACAGAGAGAATAAATTTGTAATCATACAAACAAATGGTTTTCTGGCTTTTTCAGATCAACCCCCCCCCCCCAAGTTATTCAAAGGCATTAAATTTCATTAAAGTTTATATTTTAAATCATTGTTACCACACGACTACTTGTTTAACTACTAGAGTTAAAAGCGTACAATGAGAAAAATACCAATGACCCTGGAGGCTAACATATGTCATAGGACCGTAGTCCCTTCCCAAACATAACCACACTCTGGCCGGTAACGGTTAGTGGTAAGGTGGCATGGCACCTATTTAAGGCTTTAAGACTTTCAAATGGCGAGTGGAATATAAGGTTGCATTTATAGTTATTAGCATGTGAATGTAAAAAAAGTATTTTAGCAGCGAAGCTGAATTAACCAAGTTAAGTTTATGGAGTCATGCACCTGGACTGGAAATACGTTCTTTGTATGGCAAGTAAGTATGAGTATTCTTTTGTCCAGCCTCCCCTTGTCCTCCACCCACCTGCCCCAGATCACAGATGACCCGAATCTGGCCCTGTGATGGAGTGACTAAAACCATGGATAGGAAATAGGAAAACACAGTGATTCACCACGAAAGAATCAAGCTGCCTACATCCTGCATCTAAGAAAAATACACCAGTGACTTCTATCTTAAGGTGGCTTCTTTTGTTCCGACAGTAATTCTAAAACGCTGACTGTTAATATTTAGAAGGGTAATAATAATGCCATGACATATAGGTGTTGAGTAATATATATATGAACAAATAAATGTTAAAATATTTAAACAGTTGTTCACTATAGAAAACTCAGGAAGACCCTTCTTTCCTCCAGTGGCAGAAATGCTGCTAAGCCTCGAGAAAGGAAGGCAGCTGAGAATGAGACGCGGCCTGTGGGGGCTGCCCCTGCGGGGTCCCGGAGGCAGCAAGGGGGCCACCCCACCCTGGCTGTTGGGCTCCTTGGCACAGAGCCTGGACGGCAAGGTGGAAGCCCATCTCCAGGTGAGTGACTGGGCCCCCTGCAGGGCAGCCTGTGTCCCCTCAGGGCGGGCGGGGGGTCACCTCCGTGAGGGGCCCTGAGAGGGCCGTCTGCCCACAGCGATCTGTGCTGTGCTGATCAGAACCCCAGGAGGGAAGCGGAGGACGTGCCACTGCTGTACAGAGCGAAGGACGAGACCCAGATGTGGGCGGTCACTGTTCCAGAGCCGGAGCAGCCAGCACGTGGCTGTGACAGGACAGAACCAACCCTGCTCCAGGTCCAGGTGCCTCCCCTGGACACCTTCCTTGCACAGCGAGCCTGAGACGCGGAGGCCAGGACAGGGCAAGGATGTGCCTGGCCGGACGGAGGGCAGACGAGCTTTCTCATGCTGTTCGTGTTTGCTGTTCCGACAGCCGGGGGCAGGCATTTAGGAATGGGAACTCCTTGACAGGTCAGCTACCAAAACTCTGACATAGCTTCATTATAGTAAATCTTCATTATGATCAGTCATAATTTACGACAATGATTTTTCTAATTCAAGCCTGAAAGGTCTTCAGCATCTTAGTTCAGAACCTTATATAGAATGTACACCTTTCAATCCAGTTTATCTCCCACCAGGAGTCACCTACAGATATAAGTGATTAAGGGCACAAGAATTTGTATAAACAACTATTTACTGGAACCTTGAATGCAATATAACACCCCTCAGTATACTCACGTAAACAACTAAATGCTGTATAGCCATTCAAAATGTTTGTGCTGCTAAAATCACTGATAGGGAAGATATTCACAACACAGAAAGAGGGGGAACATTTACACTACATGATGTATACATGAACTCGTTTATGTAAAAATTCTAAAACATCCTTAAAGGTTCAGAAGGACATATACACTAAAATGTTAATCATAGTTATGTTTGGGTAGAGGGTTTTTAAAAAAATACTTTTCTGTAGTGTTTGAATTTTCTTGTTTTCCCCTTTTTGCATTTAACATAAGACTTTTTTATTAATCAGAAAAGAAAACACTTGAAAACTGAAAGAAAATGTTCAGAATATATATTCAGGAAAGCACAGATCGATGAGGCTTCTCAAGACCGCTCTGAAAGGCGCCCAACCCAGCACGCGGGCGGGGCAGCGCTTTACCTGAGGGGCGATGTTGAGCGTGACGGTGTCCAGTCCCCCGGAGAGCAGGCCCTGAGTGTCGGCCAGGGTCAGCGTGACGCTGGCATCTGCCCCCACTGCTGACGGAGACACGAGCAGGTTCTGCGCAGACAGGGCAGACGGAGACAGCGGGGTGCTGGAAGGGAGGCTCCCCGCCGTAGTGTTAAGCTCTACAAAAGAGGCAAAACGAGATCAACGGAAGAGCCGGGCGCCTCCCAGGAAGCGGCACGGGGACGGCTCTCATCAGGGGGGGACGGCTCTCATCGGTGGGGGGGACGGCTCTCATCAGGGGGCCGATCTGTCCCGAGCAGCATTTCAGCTGCCTGCACCTTTGAAACTGCATCAAGGAAATCATAGAATCTTTGACCCCAATTCTATGACACGGCTTTTGTAGTCTCAAATCTCTTTACACGTAAGTATACTCTGCTCCTTAGGTATAATAAAGACCAAAAAAACAGTAAAAGAAGAGTAGAAATGTGGCCGTCCAGCCCCAGTCACTGCTGACAATGCAGAAGGAGACCAAGACAAGACTCCCCAGGACAGGTTCCCATCCAGGCCCCGAGCACAGCCCGAGGAGAGGCGTCAGACGTGCTGCAGCGAGCAGAGGCCAGTCCCTGGTGCCGAAGCCGCCGCCCCTGCCCGTGGCCGCACCCCCTCCCGCGCACCTACTTGTCCCGAGGCAGGCAGGTAGCCTCTTGCTGTCCTGTAATACTGACTATCCCGCATGACAGCTGAATTTTCTTTGGAAAGACAACAAAACGTTTTCATAATTTCCCCCTTGTAGCCAATGATAAGAGAAAGGAAGGTATCTGGAACATAACTGGGAAAGAAAGGACTTTTCTTGTACAAAACAGAAACTCATGCACTCTACCAGCAAATGAGTTGGGCTAGAATGGGATTATCCAAGCTCAACCAAGCCATTTGTTAAAGTTTTCATTTGTAAGCCTAACACACATGCACATGCGTGCATACATACACACTAACACACACACAGTCTCATAGTCTATCCTCCCATTCATCTGAGAAACACAGTTTATCATCCACTTATGTCAGCCCCTGGGCGAGGTGCTAGAGGTACCAAGATGATAACTAAAGAAGCTCAAAATACCATTTCCTAACTAGGTTTAAAAATAAAACAGAACAAGACCCCTGGAAATACTACACTGCGACCTGGGCCGCATCCACCAGAGCCCGTGCTCGGAGCCGGGCCAGTGGGGAGCCAGGTTACTTACTTGTAACTGGAGTCCTCCAGATACAATGCCTCCACAGATCCACACTCCCGGAGTCCCACACTGTGCTGCACAGACCTGGAACCTTCAAAAGCAGTAGAACCATTAGGGGCGAGGAGTCTGCTCTGCAGCGGCCACCGGGGCTACATGCCCACCTCGTCAGCCCTCCCGCCTCGCCCCACTCTGCAGAGGGGACTCCCAGGACCCTAGGTCGGGAGGAGGAGTGTGGATCTGTGGAGGCCATATGCTCTGAGCACCCCAGTTACCAGCACATGGGGTGGCCCTGCACCCCTCTGACGTCGCCTCCACACACCCTTAATCTGCAAATGTGCAGGTGTGACTGTAGTGTGAGTGGATGGAGATTAAAAAGAGGAATCCTGAGGAACATGGCGATGAGCAGCTAGAAGGGCTGCTGTGCGGTCAAGGTCACTAAGGGGCAGACTGGCTGGATGACTGGACGGGCAGTGCGCCCACTGGCCTGGGAGAAGCACGCTGTACGAGGCTCACCAGGACTCTGTTTATGAAGAGCAAAGCGAAAGCTTAAGGGGCACAGTGCCAACCTGGAAGGCCGACTCTAAACCTCACCCAACTCCCAGAATAAGGCAACCAGAGATCTCCCCTCCCCCATGAAGGCATTTCTGGCTCCCTGATGACTAACATAGAAGAGGGGCCAGGACAGTGTTGCACAAATTTAAAGAGAAAACAGAAGCCTGTGTGCTTATTTACCTAAAATGAATCCTGACACAAAGCTCAGTGGGGAGACTAAACTCAGATCACACTTCAAATTAGTGTGGCGAACGATCCCTTAGCAATGCTTTCAATTCCAGAGATTTTCCCAAACAGGATGATACCAGGTCAAGTAGAACTCGGTGGAAAAGAGCATGTGATAAAACAGGAAAACTGGAAATGTTCTTAAGCATAAAATGAAGTAACTAATTCAAATTATCATTACCTTGGTTCAATATAAAAGATTTGTTCAAAGCTCTAGAAGCCACAATTTTAAATTCAATTTAAATACTCTTAACATGAAAATGAAGGTTCAGTACTTAAGTAAACATCATAGACTCACTTTGAGTTCCACTGATTTTCTCTGAAACCACTATTCCTCTAGGATAGGTCACACAGTCTAAGTCCTAGATTCTGACTCAAAAATGGTAGCCTTCAAAAGAGTCATCAATTCTGTAAGTTCAACAAACGTAGCTGTTTTAAATCTTTTTTGGGATAAGTTTTCACTGCTTTTAAGGAAACGTACCTATAATTTTGGAAGGTTTCATAATAGTTTAAAAGATATGAGATAATTTTTCTTAAGATTAACAAAAATGTGGCAGGAAAGGTGGGGGAGGTGGTGGTATGAAGAGGAGAGAAGCCTTAGTCTGACCATTCATTCTGGATGAAAAGTGGGGAGAATGTCCTCAATTTTAAAAGGCACCCAGAAATGGGAAATGGGAAAATTTCTGAGCTGTTGGCAAATAAGCAACTGATCACACTTAAATCTAGAAGAAACGAAGGCTAAAATAAACTTACAAGGAACTAGTAAAGAATTGGTCTTTCTTTCACTAAAGCAGAACTCAGGTTATTCATCAAAATTATTTTAAAAGTGGCATCAGAGAAGAACAAAAAAATAATACCAATTTGAGATGAATTACTTAAAAAGCTGTGCTCAATTTCAAGCCTCCATTAATTAAATTTTCTGCCTCTGAAACGGAAGTCACATCATATTCGACCATTTTCTGGGAAAACTACTTGTGTCAGAAATTGTCTTGCATGTTGTCTGGAACGCCCTTTGGCCCACACCCCACATCTGACTGGAAGCATGTGCTCTTGCCCTGCATGTGAACCCTCTGCTGCCGGCCACGCTTCCCCTATTTGCAAACCCCTAACAGGTTTCAGTGCCTTTGGTTAAGGTACAAACAGCCAGAGATGCCCCCAGATTGCTAAGACTTACCAAGCCTTGTTCACACAGAGAATTAAAAATAATAGCCACAGGCACACTCATGATGCTCTGAAATCAACGACTGGGCCACGCAAGTGTTACCTGGCAAGGCTGAGTTTTTATTTTAGTGTTTATCTTAGAAGAGGCGAATTTAATCTCAAACAAAGCCAGCTTAATATCAATTCCTACTGGTGTGCTCTTAAGCTGGGTCTGGGGCTGACTTTGGATCTAAGATAAATACTGCCCATTAAGATGCCATCTCTTTTTGGATGGGACCAGCTACTTTATCACGGCCAGTGCTAACAGAGTGTGCAAACCTCTGTAAAGGTATCTGCTTGATATCAAGGACTGAGTGGTTCAACATATGAAGAATCTCTTTCTATATCCAGGAATATTCACAGATGCCAAATAATACAACTAACCTGATCATATAAAATTAATCCTGCTATTGATACTTGTAATAGCTGATATTACATTATTAAACTAATGTTTTTAAATTATGAGCTCCTCTTTTATGGTATCACCAAATCCCTCAAAAAATTTAAAAAACAAGCAAACAAACAAAAAATAAGGCACCAAATTAAGCTGAGGTGGCTTCAAAGAGTGAAATGTTCTCAGCTGGTTCTAAAACAGCAAGTCTAAAGGAAAGAAGAAAATTAAACCAAGAAAAAGTGTATGCTTGCTGTTTTTAAACAAACATCAGTGCACAATACCAGTAGCTTTGTACACAACCTGTCGCTGTCAACACTACTGCCCTGAGCACCTCCTCCCGCGTGCAAGACCCTCCCTGGGAATCTGGGGGCACAGCTTCATGAGGTGAAATACTTTATGTCTAACTGAGCAGAGACAGTGGTTTAAAGAAATGCTGGCAGCAAACAGAGTCCTCGCCGTCCATGTGCTCTCACTGCACCCACTTTCTCCGTGGTGATGAGAACACCCCCAATTTTAAATTAAGTCATCTGCTGTGGTAGCAAACATCCAGGATCAGACAGTGGTACAAAAAAACCACTCCATTTAAATGAAAAAACCTAAAACTGTACTTGTCTTTCTACTGATTTGCAAAAGCCTCATGGAAGATGTCAATGAGAGCTTCCGGGGACACGAGGACGCCAGCACTGACGGCCAGTATGCCCCGCAGTGCAGGCAGCATGAGGGAGCACAGACCCCAACCTGCCAGAACAGGCTCGCACCAGAGCAAGAGAGCCACGTACTCCGACCCACGCACAAGAAATACATTTCCATGTTCAACATGCACCATGCAGAGTGGGAAAGGTGATAAACTCACAGCCTATAAGTAGAATTTTAGAGATGATAGGCAAGAATACAAAGTCTAGTCCTTTAAAAAAAAGATATAATATACCATGACTTTCATAGAAAGTTTGCCATGTAACTTTAATAGTATGTGAGGGCACTTCAGATGTCCTTGTCCTGCCTGCCTATCACAGACCAAACGATAACCTGAAAGTCCTAGCTTGGAGTCATAGTCAATTAGAATGTAAAGCAAAATTCTCCTTAACTGAAAAGCAGAACAAACAAGAAGTCTCTCTTATTTCAAATTAATAGAAAAGACTTAGGTTCTATAACCCAAATTCAGCAAGCAAATGGGCAAGCAAGGAACAGAGGCAGATCAAAGGTGACAAGGTGACACCCAGAGGGCAGAGTCTCAGTGCCAGCGACACTGGCCTTGCATCCTGAGTTGGATCTGCCGAGCTCTGTCAACACGTGAGCTGGACACAAGTCTTCATCACTCAGGCCTCAGTTCACCTTTTTGCAAACGAGGACTGGACCCAGAGCTCCTCCCAGGCTCTCAGATGCCCGCGGCCTCCCTGGATTTCCAGCTAAATCTTGCAGCACACCACCTGCCTCATGGGTCTCCCCAAGTCCAGCAAGCCGCCCCGGCCGCAGAGCCCCACACCCCTCCCTGGGAAACACTCCCCACATTCGCAGGCCTCTCTCCTCTCAGCCCGGACATCTACAGAGACATGGACCCAGACTGGGCCAAATTCTCCATTACCTGTTCTTGGCACCATTCTCTCTCCCTTATATATGCTTCTGCTATAATTTTACATTGCTTTATGGCTACTTCAATAGAATTCCTAATTATTTCAGGGATCCAAAATGCATGGACACTATGTCTGCCCTGCTCAGTATTATGTTCCCAGATTTAGTATAATTCTTACCACATAGTACACATTACAATATTTTACTGAATAAGTGGATTACTGAATAAGAAAGCATTTCAATTAAGCATGAAAAAAATCTAGCTTACAAGTGTATCTAAAGATTAAATTTTTTCTCCAAAAGTATATATGGAGTTGGAAAATAAGAAGGCTAAGAAATTAATGAAATCTCTACAAGGTAAAGAAAACCAGATTAGTGTGTCAACTTAAACTGTTAATGTCTACTTATGAAGCTGCAATTTAATTTACTGGAGCTCATTTTATTTTAACTGGGCTCACTTATTTTTATTTTTTTTAAAGGTCTATACTTCAACCCTTAGGAAGATGTCCTTTTAATTTCGTTCTCCTACTGCCAGCTGGTGTCGGGAAAGTGCCACTGCAGAGCAGAAGCGACGAGCTGACAGGTTCCAGCCCAGACGAGAAGGGGCAGTTTCAGGACGGAGTCACCAACACACAGCTTTGCATAAATGTATAATGCCTTGTGTATGTGGATAAGATTATTTACTTTTCATTCCTTAAAAGGTAGAATTATTAATTGGTTGGCAACTCTAGAGAGAATTCTATACCCTTGAGTTACAGAGAAGCCACTCATCTTGTGGAACTCTATTAAATATGAGGGGACATGTGGCCAACACATCTTCATGCTAAAAGATGGTTGATTCTTTCCACTGATGTGCCACACAGCCCTTTAACTAGGGTATCTTCTAGGGTCTTCCATGGCCAAATCATTAGCTGCATGCCTGAGTTCACTGTTCCCCTCTGTGAGAGAAGCTGATCACTGCTCATCGTTAAGGTGGCACCTGTACATTGGTTATTGATTGCAGGTGCTGACAACCTTACGCTTCTGTTTAGATCACTACTTCCATTAGAATTGTGTTGCATAAGATCTGGACCTAAATGGAGATTAATATTGTGATATCTGAAAGTAATATGTTAATCTACATATTGGCAAGTGTGGTAAACACATAATAACATCTTGTTGAAAATGAAAGCTATTTCATTTTTAATAATATTATAGAAAAAAAAAACCCATGAAATACATTCCCTTAAATCAAAGTATTTGCTTATACTTCTTAAGCTGCCAAGTATTTTCAAGTGCCTTCTCAGAGTTCTGCTCTAACTACCTGGTGGACCGCTAGCCATCACAAAGACGCGTTTAAATGGCTCAAAGGGACGCTGTGAAATGGTACTAGGCCTCGCTTAGCTGGCCTCCACCCAGGTGGCTTCTGGACGCAGCAGACGCTGTGGCTTCCCCATGAGGTTTCCTGCCAGCACGTCACCCTGGATGCCCCAAAGCACACACTCAAACACAAGTGTGCCTGTGGTGTACTCCTACCAAGAGCCATCGGCTTTTGGCTCTGAACCCGCGCATGCCAGCTTCCTCAGCTATCTTAACTGTGCAACAAGACCAACTACAATGGAAACAAATGAACATGAGAATTAAAAAAACCTGTTGTCGATGTTTCAGTGAAAACCAAACTGAATACCTCAGGAAGACCTGACAAAGACAAGCTGCTTCTTAAAAATCTGCTGTCAAGTTAGGTATAAGCAAGAAAAGTTACAAAACTGGAGGGGAAAAAACATTGAAAAACAAAACGATATCTCTCTCTGCTTTACACGGACCACCAGTCCCATGCCCTCCCAAAGGGAGAGAGGGAAGAAATGAAGCTGTGCACTATGAGTGGGAATATGGGCAAAATAAAAGGTGGTAGAATTCCTATCAGCAGAGCAGACCCATTCGAAATACCTGCAGATGAATGTGCAAAGGACGCAGGTATCACTTCTTTGTTTGACACAGCTTTTATTAGTAACTGGGCTAAAATCATCAGGTAGGGGGATTTTTACTGTATGTGTACTCGATAATTTGCAGGGACTGAGGACCATCCTTGCCTTTTACGCCATGCTTAATTTTTGTCTCAAGTGATTTATGAATTACTACAAGTCTGAAATACTTAATTGAAGTAACAGGGGCATTCTACCATCCTTAGGCATTTATAATTTTATGCATTCACAGACAAAAGAACATCCTACAAAATGACTGAAAACTTCTACAGCACATCGAGATGCTTTCAACAGAGGGCCACAAAGTAGAAGCTTCACACCTTTTCAGAACAGGATAAGGAAATGTTGACTTAGAGTCACTGTAGCCAATTCTCATTATGCATAATAATGAGAATTGAGAAAATAAGAAATCTTAAGGTCCAAGTTGGGGCAAACCTCATTTCATCAACTGATTAAAAAATTTGTCATAGGGTAATTTTTTTAAGCCAAATTTTAAAAATAATTAGATTTATCTACCCTTTTGAATACACTGTTAAACAACAAAATAACTAAAGGATCATTAATAGGAAAACACAAGAGAAACAGAAGCTCAATCCACAAACCAAGGAGATGACACTTTCTGAACCAGAAGCGAGAATCCTGCACTGTGATTTTTCGCACAGCCCCGGCGCCCTGCCTCACACCCCGAGAACACTCAGATGATGCCAACTGCTGAACAAAGCAGTCTTCTCAAAATGACTTACCTACACTTCTGGCGCTACAACTCAGATGCATACATAATGAAAAGAGGAAGGTCACTGAACTATACAAAATTCAAAGTTAATTTCTGTTGCCCAATAGCATCTAAAAATCACTGCATATCATTCAAAAGCAAAGCTGCATCCAAGAACAGTTCCTCAAATTTCTTATATACTAAAAGAAATAAAGTAACCTCAAAAAAAAAAGTTTCTGGTTTCCTTCTAAGTAACTTCCCTCCTAGTCCAATAATTTTTACAGAAATCTCACCGAAACAAACATAATCCCATTCTGGATCACTCTGATGGCTGGGTGGGCCCAGTATTCTGTCCACCATTATTTTGGGTATTTTTCAGGGAAAACGTGGCTGCTCCCTCCATGGTCACACCACATCTTCAGGGAGGTTATTCCAACTCCTAGAGAGTTTTTCTTATTTCTAACAATAACCTGCTAGAGGTTAAGACTGTTATGAGGCTTTAATGAATTGATACTAATGAGCTAATATTTGTAAAAGTTACTAGAATAGTGCTCGGCACATAGAAAGCATCATAAAAATTGTTGCTAAATTTAAAATGACTGTTGGTTGACATAAACAGTTTGTAGTTAAGAAGCACATGGGCAAAAGTATGCCTGTAAAATACGCTCCAGACTAACGCAGTCGGGGCAAGCGTGAGAATCAGTGATACAACAGAGAAAAATCTGACTGCACGTTATAGCCTGAAACAGGGCCTGTGTTAGCTTGGTAATGGACACACAGGGTTTGTCTGCCAATTTCAAGTGACCCACACTGCCAAAGGGTATTTACCTATTTACCTACTTTTCAGCACTCTATCATATTTAACAGTCTCCTATGTCATCTAAGTGGGACTCAAGGAAGACAAAAGATCAGGTGTCTAATGTCCAGGTGCACACACAGTTTACACAAATTACATTCTTTCAGTTGAACGGAGCATGAGCAAGAATTATGAAGCTTTATTGAACAGAACTCAAACTGGAAGTGGCATGTGGAGCTACCACTTTTCATTTCTGTGTTGGGCTTGAATGCTATGTTATTTTCACTAAACTTGAATTTCTCACAAAAAGTAGACACTTATCGACCTCTGGTTTATGCACAGCTCAATGTTGCAGAACAAGAAACATCAGGAAGGTGCACTCACACTGCAGATGGAAGGGCGTGTGAGACCCGCAGCGACCTACCAGAGATGGTCAGGGTGATTTCCTGGGGAGGCCCGGAGGACGCCGCAGCCGTGGGTCCCGCGGCCTGAGCCAAGACCTGGCTCAGGCTGGAGTTGTTGATGGTCAGAGTGATCTCGTGGGGGCCACTGGAGGTAGACACCAGGCCTTGGGAGGTCATCGCTTGAGAGAGGTCTTGGGTCCCTGGTCATCGTTATGAAACAAAACAAAGCTGGGCTTAAAAAAGAATAATTTTCTCCTTTTAAATTTAAGAAACATTTTAGTAAACTGTCATTTCAAAAAGAGAAAGATTCAAAATACAGCACTAGTCATCTCTACCTCCTTCATCGAAACAAACAAGAAAGCCTTACGCGGACCAGGAAGTCCACAGACCAAACTGCTGCCGTGAGGCAGCACTCCACGCGCACACACCCGGTTAACACCATTTACCCCGAGAAAAGCTTACTTTATCCTTCAGGCACCTGATTCATTTGTTGAGCTTTACAAAGAGGAGAAAATGGCGGCAGAGTGCCCTCAAATCCAATATGTGACTCTAAGCAAGAAGCTGAAACTCTGGTGGACAAAATCAACACTGTGAATGGCTCCTACCATTGCTGCTGGAGCTCAGCGCGGAGTCCTGCTCAGACAGAGGGCCTACGGTCAGGTTGGCAGATGTCCCCGTGGGCTGTAAGGACAGGCCTGAGACGGGCTGGATGACGACGCTGGCTGGGACCGTACCGTCTGCTGCCTGAGCAGCGCCGTTCTGCGGGGCCGGGCCGGGCTCCCCTGTCAGCTGCTGAGCAAGCAAGTTGCTCTGCTGGAATGTTTGCTGCAAGACGCTTGGATCGATCTGAAAAGCAACAGACACTTACAATGAAAACGGCACGCTGACTACCAGAGAGCCTACAGGGAGGCATGGAGAACCTGGGCAGGTGCCATGCCTGTAACGTGATGTTATTGATGCTGGAGGCATCGATTCCGGAAATTTGAACATTTGGTCCAAGCAAGTTGGCAGCTAACTGTAACTGTATGCCTTCCAGAGTGGTCACGCTTCCGTCCGTCAAGGACACCGTCCAGTCGCCACCAGCTGCAGAGACAGAACACGAATGGCTATCAGAAAACTTCTTAAATAGAAAAATTTCATGTGTATAAGGTATTTTAAATACATAAGTTTTATATGTATATCAGTATGATGTAGGTAATGAATAATACTGTTATTTACTTTATACCATACATGTATTATCTAATTTAATCATCACAAAACGAACTCTGTGAAATAGGTAATAACATTATCCATTTTAAACATATCAGGAAACCAGGCTCAAAGAGATTACATTGATTAGCCCAAGACTTAAAACTAATAATAATATCGTGTTATTAGGCTTTAATCAAGCCACAGATCACATAAACTGAAAGCAAGCCACATGAGACATCTAAGAGCTATTAACATTTGCTGCTATTTGAAGTACACAAAAAAAACCTATTGGCTAAAATTTAATGCTGTTCAAGCACTGTGTGGCCCAGCAGCAATTAGAAAACTCTAGCATTTTAGACAATGTTCATGAGCAGCATGAATTGCACACCTCACTGTTAAATCTGTGAGAATGTCGAGAAGGAAACAAGTGGAGGGCCAGCGGCAGCAGGCGCGGAGCACTGAGCTAACACCAAGTAGCGCTGCGGGGGGCAGGAGCGGGAGGCGGGAGGCGGGCGGGGCCCAGGCCCGGGCGAGAGCCCCTCCCCCTGCCTCCTGGGGCAGCTGCTCGGAGGCACATGTGTGCGGCGGCCAGTCGCGGCCCCGCCCCGGCCCAGGCCCAGCCCCCGGCCCCCAGCCCGGTGCTCACCTGCCACGGGCGCGGGGAGCAGAGCCTGGCTCACCAGCCCCTGTTGAAGCAGACCCTGGTCCAGCTGCCCCGTCAGCACAGAGCTGTTCATGATGAACACGTTAGGGTCCGCGGAGGACGAGCTGAGGAGGCTGGCAGGCTGGAGACCCTCTGGTGAGCTTCGGGCCACCGGTTTCCTGGCTTTCTTCGGGTCTGGTTTGTAATGAAATTGCATGTGAGTCTTCCTCCGTCCAGACGTACGGAAGCGTAACTCGCAGTGGGGACACTTGAAAGGCTTTGCTCCCGTGTGCAGACGCATGTGCACTTTCAGGCTTCCCTTCGTGGAGAAGGCATTGCTGCACACGTGGCAGCTGAAGAGTTTCTGACCTGCGAAAAGGTCGGCCAAGAATCAGCCAGGGGCGCAGGACAGGGCCGCGCGCACTCAGAGGCCCCACACATTTCAAGGAGAGTCTCTCCTACAGGACGTTAGGGATGGGATAACGCTGCTGTAGAAACTTAGAAGTAAGAAAAGTACATAGTTGACCGTCTGGATTGAATCCCATCACAGCACATGGGCATTCATGGTGTCTTGCGCCCCAAGGGGCCCTGCGGCAGGTGACTGAATGGCCCAGCCCTGCACGGCTGCCATCCCTCTCTGGCCACGAAGCGCACACTCCCAGCTGAGCATCCTCTAGTTTCCTTTCCGTGAAGGGGCGCCCCAGACACCAGCACATAGAGACACCGCCTGGGAGAAAGTGCCCTGAGCTCGCAGAGCCGTGCACCCGGCAGTGCATACCCAGTTCCTGGGACACTAGTCCTTTTGATGCGCACAGTGTGTGTCAAAGGCCATGTATGCAGACCTGAGGCCCTGCCCTGAGCGCAGACCGGCCCTGGAGTGCCTCCAGGTGGAGGCAAGTGTCCTGGCTCTGTGTTCCTCTACTGCTCCCGGGACGCAATACTGATGTGCATCAGAGATGGGCACACCAGGGCTCACCCTAGGACCTGGGAGGCCCGGTACCCTAATACTGCTCAGGGCCTCTGAAGTCACCCCAGAAACTCAGAGTGGAGAATGAAGCTCTGAAAAGTACTGCTAAAGACTTTTCTTTCTATTCCTTAGCCTGGGAGACAACACTGAATCCCAACATTGCCGGCACCTGCCCAGGGCGAGTCTGCACACTGGACCCGGCACCGCGAGGGTAGGCGGGCTGGTCCTCCTGACCCCCCCAGCACACACGGAGCCTGGTGAAACAGCAGGAGAGCTGCCCGCAGAAGAGGCCTGCTGCGTGAGGCCATGTGTCTGGCCATTTAATCTTAAGTATTAACCCGTCAGGAAAGAATCATAGCGCTTTACATAAATGTGTGAAATTCCACTTGTATTCTTTTGGTCAATTCTGCTTATAGGCAAACATTAAGAATATAAATTAGTTAAGAGTTACAACCTGATGAATCACAATAACTACTCTTCCATTTACTGAGAGTTTTTTTCCATGTGGCATTTTTCTAAGCAGTTTAAACTCCCAATAGGGGGGCACTACTCTTAGCCCCACTTCCCACAGGAGGAACCGGAGGCTCAGAGAGGGGCTGGCGGTGGGGCAGGGAATTCCAACACGGCAGGAGTGCGGAGCCGGCCTAGCCACCAGGGCACAGGAGGTGAAGTCAGGAAGGGAAGGCTGAATGTAGTTTAATTAGGACAATTAACCCTCAGGTCCTCAAATAACATGAAGAAAATGGCCATGAAAACTGCACATTAATTATTTTCCCTTTTGATTTCCTCCCACATAAAATAATTGCTACCAGATAACAATAATCCCCTGTTTTTATGACTCCTCCACAAACCAAATCTCTTCAGCTGAGGTGAGACCGAGGTGGTCACGTCAGCAGAGGCCCCAAAGCCCGACTAAGAACACAGGGAAACTACGGCTCAGCGCGCAAGGCCTGGCTCCTATTCCTCGGGGTCACGCAGGCCATTTTCCCCATGTCCACGAATCTTTTATATCCATTTCTTTGTGATTCCTGATTTTTAAGCTTTCTGTAATTCTGGAAGTTATTTGTGTATACAAAATACACAACAGACATAAAATGTGACAGGCATCCACGAATACCGCGGGGTGCTTACCTGTGTGCGTCTTCACATGGCAATCCAGTGTGGATTTGACAGTGAAGCTCTTCCCACATTCATCGCACTTATATGGCTTTTCTCCAGTGTGGATTCGAACATGCCTGACCAGAAAGTATTTGCAATTGAGAGTTTTTCTTTTTAATGTTACACACATTTACAAACTTCATGATTTCAAACTTACAACTATCCGTAAGTAAAAATTGTGTGCTGCTCTGTACTGAATAAATTGGGCCAAATAAAACAAGCTTCTCTCTCTATAAAAACCACCAAAAACAAATCCAAAAGAGGGCAAAAAAATCCATCAGACCTATTTTTGGGTCTTTCCTCAAATTCAAAGAGCTTTTACAGATCAGCAAGGAGACAAGGAATACCGCAGTATAAAATGGGCAGGGCTCAGGCAGCTCAGAGAACAAACACGCACGGCCAAAAGCCGCGCGGAAAGGCGTCCGCCCACACTCGGCGCAAACGTTAGAGGAGCCGATTAAATGAGACGCCATTTGCCCCGACAGCCTGATGACCCGCTGCAAGCTGGCTGGTCTGGCGACAGGGTCGGGGGGGGGGGGGGGCACGCGGAGCCCCTCGGCGGTGACGCTCCTGCGGCCTCCCCAGCCCGGAGGCCAGGTGCTCACCGTGGGGCTGGGCGCGCCCGCGCGGCAGAACCCGCCGCTGCCATTCGGAAGGGTGAAGCCGCCGCGGGTGCCGCCCACGGACTTGTCGGAGCCTCGGCGACGCACGACGTCAGACGGGACCGCGCGAGCCGACGCCCGCGGCGTGGGGCGGTTCCGAAGCGCGCACGAGGCCGCGGGAGCGGCGCCTCTGGGGGGTGGGCTGCTGGCTGCACAGCCGAGGGCGTGGCGGGGCTCCGCTGCCCCATGACCTTTGCTCGGCACGGAACAGGGAGCCTGGCCTCCGACGCTTTCAGAAAGAAGGGCAGCCTGGGCGCAAGCTGTCGGCTGTCAGGCTGGGCCGCACTTCCTGCTCCCCGATGCCGGCAGGCGGCTCCTGGGCCCTGGGGACGTGCCCGCTTCCGTGTTTGTCCAGCCACTGCCTTCCTGCCCCTCTGGGCATAACGGCCTCATTAGCACAAAGTGGACCCGCCGTCTCTTGCTTCCTTGACCTCCTGTCCTGCCTGCTCATCAGCACCACCCACAGGCCAAAGCCCTGCGGGGCCTGCGGCGGCACGGGGACCCGAACGCTGCCCAGCCGGTCCCACGGCACCCGTGCCCAGCACAGGCCCCCATCAGGATCCCACACTGGCCCCCTGCTGCTGGCTCACCAGGTCCTCTGCGCCGGGCACGTGCCGGGCTGGCCTCCAGACTCATCATTGCGCCCCGAGCCTCACCCCAGGTGGCCGTCCTCGTGTCCTATCCCCCGCCCCCCACCCAGATCACAGCGGCCACCTCCTAGCTTCCTCCCGGCGCACCGTGCGCGCCCTGGGGACCTGGGGCTGCGGCTGCCTCCCACGCCCACCGGATGAGCCCCGAGCCCTGGAGCCCTGAGAGCCGAGGAGGAGCAGGTGGTCTGCTGCCGCCTTCACATCCTAACAGTGCTTCCTGCTGTTACTCGCCTTACACCGCCCCCCATGACTTCTCTCTCCCACGGCAAGTGCGCGCGCCCCTTCCCGCACAGGGCAGCCCTGCCGCTACGAGGTAACGCCCACCTGGCTTCCTCCTGCTGCCCGACACGCCCAGGGCCCTTTCCGCTGCTCCCCACACCCCGGTGCCCAGCCCTGCACTCTGCTGGGCATGACCGTGCGCCCGCCACTACCTGACCGACCCGGCCGACCCTCGGCCTTGCGGGCGGCGCCTCCTCTGCCCTGAACCTGCTGGGCGCTGTGCCCTTGCTCTCCCCGCAGGCTGCCGTCCTGTGGGTGGGAGGATGGCTGCTGCTCTGCGGGCCACAGGCTTAGCACCGGGCTTCCCCAGTCAGGGATTTTCTGTTTTTTGTTACTGCAGCAGCTCCCCTTTATCTGCACGGTACACGTGCCAAGACCCTCAGTGGATGGTTGAAACCATGGACAGTACTGAACCTACATTCACTGTTTTTTCCTATTTATACACACCTATGATAAAACTTAATTTATACATCAGGCACAGTAGGAGATTAACAGCTAATAATGAAACAGAAAAATTGTAACAATATACTGTAACAGGAGTTATGTGAATGTGGTCTCTCTCTCAAAGTATCTGCGCTGGACTAAGTCCCTTTCTGCAGTGAAGATGATGGAAAGCCCACGTGGGCCACATCCGCCCAGCCCCTGGCTCACCTCACTAAGTCGCTGGGCTTCTTGAAGCTCTTGGGGCAGTAGGAGCAGCAGTTGGCGTACTTGGGCTCGGCCTCCAGCTCCGCGTGCCGGTCCTTCATCTCGCTGATGCGGTCCTTCTCGGCGGCCGACTGCACGAGGACCCGCTCGGACACGGTAGCACTCTCCTGTGGCCGGATTTTGGCCAACTGCGCGGTCTCCTCCTCTGTGAAGGTGATGACCTCGGCACGGGCCTTTCTAGATGCGCTTCTTTCGGAATTTTCTTCCTCTTCCTCCACACACACATCTAAACAAAACACAGGAAAAGGACCAAATCCTGATAAAAAATTAAGTTTCTAACAAAACAAGTATGGAATGTTAAAATTAGTAACTCAATTAAGTTCTCTTTGAGATGGTAAAGACTTTTTGCCACCACTAGTCTACTGAGAAAGCCAACAGGCCCGCACCCCAGTTAGCACAGGGCACCCTGCACACAGACGGACGGCAGTCGTACACTCACACGGTGTGTGCGTCCCGTGCCCAGGCGCACAGCATGTGCACTCCCACGCTGGGACCCACCTGGGGACTTGCCAGAAAGAAACCACCTGAGGAGGGAGAGTGTGAGCACAAAACAGCCCCCTGGCCCGGGGTGGGAAGCGGGCACATCGGCTTGTGCAGCGACTGACTACAGCGTTCTGTGTCAGGTCAATGAGAAAGGGAAGGTGGAGGCACAACTGTGCCCAGGGCTGCCGCACACCACAATGCTGGTGTCACTTGCCGCAGAGCAAGGCTAGAGAAAGCTACAGACCCGGCAATGGGAAACTAAGAGAGAGCAGACGATGGGATGCATGGAGCCACTGGAAGTGCGGCACATCTGTGTCTGCGGCCACCCAGCATGGCGGTGACATCAGGGGAAGGAAGACTGTGTGGGTAACACCACCACAGACAGCGCTGCTGGGCTAGGACCGCTCCCTGCATGTGGTGTCTGTGTGGAGGGGATACTGGCGAGCAGTGGTGTTACTGGCCTGGCGAGTGGTGACTGGCCAGATGACGTTTCCTCTTTGGGCCTCTATGAATCTGTTTTCAAAGAGCAGGTATTGCTTTCATAATCAGAAAAAAATTAACTGACTTTACAAGCAATCTGTACACTAGCTCATCACCAGGCTCGTCTGTGGCTGACGAGCCGTGGATCACAGGCGGACAGTACCTCCTCCTTCCGCCTCTCCGCTGGCCAGCCCGGTGGAGGGCCCTGGCTCATGCCTCTTCATGTGCTTCTTACAGTGGACTGTGGTGCGGAAGCCCTGCGCACAGAACGGGCATTTGTAGGGCTTCATGCTCATGTGCGTCGCCATGTGCCTGGTGAGGCTGCCGTTGGTCGTGAACGACGCGTGGCAGACGCTGCAGCTGAATGCCTTCACTCCTGTGACAACAGAAACAGGGCCACGCCAGACGTCAGTGCCTGGGCACCCAGAGCAGCAAAGGCAAAGATGTTTGGGGAGCTACGGAATTAAAGACTATCTGTTTGAAAAGTCTACTATTTTTAGGAACTTATTTATTTTAAGAACATGGAAACTGACAGAATGTGTCTTACTACATTCACTAGTGAAACTAAAGCCTCTGAGAGCATTTCTCTGAACAGATGTCCATTCTCTTCATCCCTCAGTTTGTCACATTTCAACGGGTAGCATGTTTGTGGACTCTGCCTTAGAGTACAGAAGACTCTCTCCTCTGAATGGATGACACGGAAGCAAGCTAAGAAGGGTATTTTCTTCTCATGTCTGTTACTTGTTCAGTGGCCCTGACTTTCTGAACCAGAGCGGCTCTGACATTGCTCCTTAGAAGTTGTGCGTGGCTTCTCTCCGTGGGTGATGCTGGCCCCTTAGCAGGGCCTTCAAAGCCCCACATACTCGGACCTCGGTCTGTCTGCCCAGGAGCCATTAAAAACACTCCCCAGGCACCAACTTACGGACTAGTCCGTAAGATCTTCCTGTTTTTAAGCAGTACACCTTTATTTTCAAACAAAGTCTAATATAGAATATACACTGATATTAAACAGATATATTATTTATGTATTAAATGTATTAAACAGATAAAAGTGATATATTTAGTGACAAATCAAATATGTAATAAAGAATGTATTTTTAACACTTTTGCTCAATAATAAGAATCTAAATAGTCTAATTTAAAAATGGCATAACACTAGAATGGGCATCTCTCAATAAGCACATGAGAGATGCTCAACAGCATGAGACACTAGAGAAATGCAACTCAAGCCACAATCAAACACCACTTCACTCTTAGGAGGACGGTCATAGTAGGAGAGAGTGCGACAAGAAAGGGGAGTTGCTCCTCACACACTGCTGGTGGACCAGGAGATGGTGCAGCCACTTTGGAAATCAGTTAGGTAAACGCAAAAGCCTAAACAGTTACGGGACAAGCAGTCCCACTCCTAACAAGAAATGTAATGTACGTCCACATAAAAACATATACAGAAATGTTTAGCCAGATTAACCTTAGTATCCAAAAAATGGGAATAACTCAAATGTCTAACTGATGAATGCAGGTAAAATGTGGCCATCACACAGTGGAATGTCATCTGGCGGTAACAGTGAAGTACAGATACATGCTACAACGCGGATGAGCCTGAACACATGCCGAGGGAAGGAAGCCAGTGACGAGAGGCCGCGCGTCATGCATTGCTTTTATGTGGAATACCCAGAGCAGGCAAATGTGCAGACAGAAAGACCAGGGTGGCTCAGGCTGGGGACACGGTGGGGTGGGGGGTGGCTGCTGACGGCACAGGGTTTCTTTGGGGTGATAAAAACATCCCAGAGGTAGGTAGTGGTGAGCTGAACGACTCTGTGAACACAGGGAAAAGTGTACTATCTCCAGGGCACAGCAGACAATGACCTGTGTGTGTCTTCTCGTGGGACTTGAGGACCCCGGAGGAGACAAAGCCACGGCCACAGAGCTTGCACTTGTAGGGCTTCTCCCCGGTGTGTGAGCGCACGTGCTGCTTCAGGTGGCTGGACTTCTTGAAGCCTTTGTGGCAATAGTCACATCTACAAACAACACGAAGGGTACAGATCACGTTAGTTCACAGCACGACTACAACTGTGACATCTGAGAACAGGAGAAAAGCCAGCAATCCTCACCAACAATCATTACAAGATCAGGCATAACTGTCACAGAAACTAGGTACACTCCCCAGTATTTAAGAAATTATGGAATATTAGCAATAACAATTTGTTAGAGCAAATTCTGCTCAGAGTATCTGTAGTCTTACACATATTTTAATATTTCAAAAGTAGTAAATCCTATTGCAATTCCCCAGCAGGCCAAATATCTGATTAATTAGAAACTATTCTTTTAAAGATAACAGGAAGAACATTGACTACGTGCTATTTTCTTTGCTAAGATGTAAGCCGCTGTGACACCACAGCTTAAGGGTCAGAGTCACTCCCAAGTCTAGACACGTGGAAATGCCAACTTCTATCCTCATATGGTTCATAAAATACTATACAAAACAGGTTTACCGGGATATCTGGAATAGTACCAAGTACGCAGTACAGCTTTCCCTCAGTTGTTGGACTATATGAAAATTACTTTAAGGATGAAATCATTGTAGATTTCAAAATTCCTATTCACATTATTATATTCAATTATATTTCCCTACTTTTTCCATTTCCAAGTCTTAGTCTTGACACCAAAACTTGCTCTCCCAGGGTCTCCCCCTTTCCAGGGATAGTAATTTCATCTTTTTAGTTACTCAGGTCCAAATCCTAGTCGTCATCCTTAACCCTTCTTCTCTCACAGCTCTACCAGTAAATTCTGAGGTTCTACCTTCTAAACGTAGCCGGCGCTCACCCCCACTGCCTTGCGATGGTGATGCCGCCTCCTGAGCTCATCTGCTGTACAGCTCACTTGCTATTTCTTCCCACTAGGATACAAACTTTGGACGACAGGGTGTGTTTTCCTATTTTGCCCACTAATACAATCCTAGGGCTTAGTACCTAATAGTCCTTAATACATGCTGAACAACTGCATGCATGGATGATGCCAAGCTATACACCCAGCAATGCCCAAGCAGAGCCACAAAGGAATCATGAGAAAACACTAATCTCACTTAAAAATATCAGTGCAAAGTCCCCAATTAAATATTGGCAAACAAATACTTGTTGAGTATATAAAAGTTTGCATAAAATATCAGGAGAGGCATAGAAACCCTATAGCCCATCAATGCATATTCCCCTCAGAATCCATGAATCCCAAAATCAGAACACTGATCTAATAAAAGTTTTGAATTTACAAATTCATAGAGATTTCAGGTAATATACTTCTCAAATTAAAGAAGCTAATGTATAAGAATACTAGTTCAAGGTACTTTAGATCTTGTATGAAAAACAAATGCTTTGAAAGTGAAACAAAGAAGATACCTGACTGTCAAAAACTACATGCTTAACGTTATTAGCAAAGCTTAACCAATTTCAAAATTCTTAAGACCACTCATTTGAGATAAGGTAGCTCAACACTTTTAAAGAGTAACTATGAAGGAATGAGACATAGGATTTAGTTAAATGGCTCTGGAAAAAAATATTAGAATTTAAGAAGTCCTTTAAGCAAAAATAAAAATATTATAAAGCCAAGACCATCTCTATAAAGATATACCCATTTTGCTTTTTATATTACATATATACTGATATTTAACTTCACAAAAATGTATTTATTTTATTCACTATCAGTGTGCATGTCCCACAGTGAGCTGGGGCAGGAGTCTCTCTTTCTCCCCAGGGTATCCTGAGCATCTGGAATGTACGTGGCACTCTGATGGCACTGAGTACCTCCTGCTGAATGAATGGGTGCACGAAGATTGACGGGTGAACTGATTTAAAATCTGTCCTTAGTCACACTGAGCCGGGGCACACAGGTCGTTATATATAAAGCACACTAAGAACCTTGACAGAAAGTCTCAATATAAGTTAAAGTTATTTCTGAAAACATAATAACAGGCTTAAAAGGTGGTGACAGAAGCCATAGCAGAGCAGCCTCACTGGTCAGGCTGCTGCAACCTCAACTTATTAGGCCCCGTCACTTTTTAGCTGCAGAAAATTTAACAAGTTCATCTTTTCTGGGTCAGATGCTCTATTTATGAGCTAGGGAAGATAACGGACCCTGTTTCAGAAGCTGTAAGAGTCAACCGCAGAGCCCTTGGCAGGGGAAGCCACCTCGGCACGCGGTCACAGGGCCAGTGGCCGTCTACCTGTAGGAGCGCCGGCTCTGGTCTTCCCCGTCCTCCAGGAACTGGGGCCGTTGAGTCTGCAGGTCCAGTTCCTCTTGGGATGACTCTTGAATCAAGCGAGTTGTCTAAAGCACAAGTATAAAAGAGACTACTTGAATATCTATGAATAAATACCAAACAACAATTAGGGCTAAGAACATTCATCAGTGTGGATTTAAAAGGAGGAACCTCAAGTCATTCATGGCAATTGTTTGGCTAGATGAATAACAGAAAACATTTACACGAATTTTATTTAAAAAGTACTTATTTTCTTTTAATGAGCATGATCTTTCCACACTTTTCACGTTTAATATATCTTAATAAGAGATTACTCTTTCATCTGCTCTATTCTTACTGAGAGTGAATAGAAGTCCTGCTTTTGAAGATACTGAGGCTCCTCGCCTGTCCCAAAACCACGGGGAAACAGAGCGCCTCCAGCACCCAGGGCAGCAGCAGCCTGGGAGCGCCCGGTAACCACCTCCTGACACGGGCTGCACCCCAGGCCAGGACAGCAAGAGCCAGGCAAAGGCCTGGCGGATGATTCCTGACCCGCCAGGGAACATCCATGCTCACTGGGCAGAGGCGGATGGAACAGGCCCAAGACAGACATCAAGAGTGGGGAGCCCACGCATGCGCAGCAGCTTGGTCCCGACTTCCATGGCCACTTCAGATAACCCCTGTTCTGCCCCCGCTGAACTGGGGGTGCAGCTTCACCCAGAAGCCTCTGCGGTGGAGGGAGCTACCCTGGCACAGACTCCACTACCCAGATTCAGCATCTGCCGCCCATCATGTTAGTCTGAGCTAAGAAAACATGCTGTGAAATTTTCACTGGTGGGTTTGGGGCTACCACGTGTCAAAGCTACCACCAGTAGCTTATAAAAAGAGAAAGTAACTGAATGGGCAATTGTTTTTATCACTATTGAAAATTTTCCAAAAATGGACAAATCAAACCCCCCAAAAAACTTAAATGTCTCCAACCTAAGAAAAAAATTTAAATGATGCATTTAAGTATTTATTTTTAGTATGTTGGCATTGGTTGTATTTTCATTCTAACACATTTCTTTTAAGATTCCACAAAGAGCAGTATTTAGGTTTTATCACTAAAGCAACATTACATCCTTCAGCTGCTACTCACACAGCACTCTGACGACTTTCCTGACTTATCACTAAAAAGGTACAGGCACATCATGGCAATGAAATCTTAAGTTAAACTTAAATGTTTTAAGGGAAAAGAAAGCCCTATATGTTAAACATTCAGGTTTTCAAGGGTAACACAATAATCTTTTTTTTTTATTAAGGTATGATTGATATACACTCTTATGAAGGTTTCACATGAAAACATAATGTGGTTACTACATTTACCCATATTATCAAGTCCCCACCCATATCCCAATGCAGTCACTGTCCATCAGTGCAGCAAGTTGCCAGAGATCCACTATGTGCCTTCTCTGTAACACAATAATCTTAAAAGAAGTTAGCATGCCCTCTCCAGTAAGCAAATTCTAAATAACGACAGTGAAGAATAAAACAGAATCTGCTAATCATGGGCAATATCCCCTCTGAATACTCACTACATTAACCGTGTCAGAGCAGGGCACCTGGAGCAAGTTCTGCTGGTGGAAGCTCGTGGAGAGGGCCTGGGATTCTAGCGTACTGGAATCTTGTAACTGCTGGACAGGTGGAAACTGAGTCTGTTGGTTGTATGTGTCAGTCACTGTAAAACCTGAAATAAATTAGAAAATTAGAAAATGTGAATGCTATGAAAAATATTAAAGTTACATTAAAAAAGCCAAGAAAACATGGGTTTCATGACTAAGGACGATAAGAGGGACACCTCCACTTTCTGGAGTGGCATCAGGACTAGTTCCGTCATCGGCAGGCGGATACCTCAGCACCCACGTCCCTGGGGTGCAGGCTTACAGACCGACCGCAAGTACTCAGACCCCAAGTCCCAGTTTCCACTCGGCTAGAAACTCTGTGTAGAATGATTGTTAAAGTCATTTTCCAGGTAATCTGAGCGGACCGCAAAACAGCGTGTGCACACACACAAGCACACACATTCCATGCAAAGCATTATTTAGTTTGAACCCATAAAGAAAGACTGAAGGTCACTGTACAATCAAAGCCACCGAGTATAGCTCACTGAAAAGTCCCCTGGAAGACCCCCCACTGACCCTGCGGTAAGCCGGCCGGTTCGAAGGGCTGCGGGGGAGGGGCCTGCTCCTCAAAGTGGTCCATGTGCCCTTGCAGCGCATGCTGTGGAGCCACAAACCTCTCTGCAGATGAAAATGCAAAAGAGGGGGGAGTCATGATTTGCAAGTTATTTCAGATCTATCAGTCTATCCAAAAGGACACTTTAGAGAGTTTTTAAAAATCAGCCTCCTTATTGTGCGAAAACACAGCAGAAAGGCAATGTATGTGTGTAGCGGGTATGGGCATTATCTTTGTACTTTCAGAATATCACTTTAATAGCCTACAACTTAGACAATTTTCTATAAAGTTTCTAAATGCAATTACATTCAAAAACTATTTAAAAGCTTTTTGGATGAGTGTGTTCCAGGCAACACAGAGGATAAAATCCTGCTCGCGGTAGACTGGCCAGCAAGCTGTTTGTTAGCAGGGATGAGACAAGAAGTCTGTGCTAGATGCAAATCAGCTACATCACGAAGTTCACTGCCTACAGCTGGGCTGACATCCTCCCTGGGAAGGTGTTGGGGCGGGAGCCCGATGTCACTGCAGGCCAGTAACAAACAGTTCGCAGACCTGCACCCGTCTGTGAATCAGGCTTCAAGCGCCCTGTGCTGGGATACTAACGATCGCACAGATGTATACTTACTGAAAATGAAGGCTATGCTCTACACACTGAGGGATAAAAGCAGGTTATACAAAGAAGTGTGTGCTGAAAGGTCCTCTTCCTATGATTCCATACACATGTCAAACCCTCTCCCTCTCTCTCATGCACACACACATACTCAATCACAAATCTGGCTTGAAAAGTCAGAGAGGAGAGATACTGATACAGACTGAAGTGCATGTAAAGGGCTGCAGAACTGCATGGATGATTCCACCAGCTAGAACTCCTTAAGTGTTCACCTTCATCTGCTTCCAAGGGCTGCTCTGTCAACTGCGGGCCAAGTCCCGACTCTCCGGTGCCCACGCCATGCTGCGGCTCCAGGCCCAGCATGGCCACCGGGTTCGCAGCGACCGCCTCGGCAGTCTGCTGCAGCTCGTTGCTCTCGATCTCCACCTGCATCTGCGCGGAAACGTGCATGCTCTGCTGGTCCACGGCGCTGCTGTCCACGGAGACAGCTTGCTGGTGCTGCTGGAGCTGCTGGGCAAGCTCGTATCTTCAAAAAATCAGTGAAAACCCAGGAAGTTAGGCAGCCAAAAATGACTTGCACGGACTACTACTTTGCGAGTTGTCGTTCATTGAGTAACACTTTGCATTTTAAATATTTCATTTAGAAGTTGTGAGGCAATCTAGTTGAAAAATAAATACTATTAACAATTCTGAAGAAAATCATGTTCCCTCATCTTTCAATGCTTTCACAGATTATAGGGACATGAAGGCAGCAAAAGGGGATGAAGGGCACACATACCTGAAGTTTCAAATTTTTGTTTAAATAGAAAAGATGCCAACTCAAATTCTTCAGAATTAAAATATTCGAAAAGAATTGTACAAAATGAGACAGCACCTCTCAGATTTTAATATTATATATTTTAATATTATAAACACATGTGGTGCATATGTGGGGCAAAGGTCTATATCCTGCTGTCTCCTGTCTGGGGCCACAGAACACAGACCACGAGGCATCTGGTCGCCCTGATTTTCTGCGAGTCCATTATTCATGTTAATATTGCTTTTCTGTATACAAAATATGTCCAGTATGTTTTCATCAAGGTTAGTAACATCTCTTTCAAGGAGAAAAATGAACAGTGAATTCAGCGACCAAATTAAAGAACTTAAAATAATTCAAATAATTATCTAACAGGCTGTAAAATACCTAAGACGTTAATGGTCTATTCCCCTAAGATTTCAGACCCATACAGGCTCCACCATATGCTTGATTCCACAATCTATAAATCTGCCTACTCAGAATTCCATTCTAAGTTCCAAACAAAATCTCTCCTCTCCATTTTCTGATGTCAAAAATAGTCACTTCTCAACTACTTTTACTGAGGAAAGGGGAACAAAAATATAATAGAAACAGTGGAGAGTTAGAGCACACACAGTCTTTACTATAGTGGCCACCGCTCGGGCAGACCGTGACCTTCACACGTTTCCCCCCACTCACCTGGCCAGAGGAAACGTGTGTTCGGAAGCCGGTGGAAGCCGGCTTTCTGTGGTTTGCTTGGTTTGTGGGGTTTTTATGACGCTTACTACAGTAACGTGTCATGCCTACTTCCCACATAGCCAAATGTGATATTTAGGAATCCCCAACACTCCAAGCACAGGGATGAAATGCTGGGGCAACTGTCTGCCTGCAGGCAAGTTGCAGGCGCACGCTCTGTGAGAGACCCCGTCTGCACCTGACAGGCCTGCCAGTCCTCAGGTCGTCACCTCCACGTCATGCATTTACCTCCTAACGTGGTCGTGGTACGTGTCCCTCCGCACAGCCCATGACAAGCAGTGGCCACTGCAACACTCCCCATAATAGAGGTGACCCAGCTAAACAGCTGACTTCCTTCCCAGGTACCATACCACTGGCCACTGAGTCCACAAACAGAGCCTTGAACACATACTCCCAACACTACCACAGGAAGAATGTTGTAAAGGCCTGGCTTCTCGACAAAGAAAAACATTCTTACATGCCACCAGGCAAGGTCACACCCAAGCTCAGCCCCGTGAGCCTGGCATCCTAAGCATCAGTGCAACCACAAATGCCCAGCCCCGAATGCACGTGGGGCATGTCACTTCCTCCACAAAATGTAGTCAAGTATAACTGGATATTTAATTGGCAGAGGTCCCCTGTACCAACACCACTGACACCGTATTTCTTAGATGGTCTCAAGGAGCAGGTAACCTTCTCGGCTAACTACCCAACAGTGCCAAATCAAGGAAGCCCATGCTGCCAAATGCCCTCAGCACCCAGGTGGTTAGTCTCAAAACAACTTTGTCGCGCTAACTTACTCTAATGTTTTGGGGGGTTTGCTTTATGTGTAAGATCTGCAAGAGAAAACTAGGTCAAAACACGGCCCAGAAGGAAACGTTCCAGGACAGACAGTCTGACATCCTTTCACGGCAGGGCAGGCAGCTCTGTTGGCAGCGCCTCCTAGGATGTGGTCACCTTCCCTGGGCTTTCCTCTGCAGTACAAAATAATGTGGCCCCACAGAAACCCAGTGGGCAAGTGGCAGACACAGTCACAAATGCACTTCTGTGATGGCTTTGTGGATGCCCTCTATTTAGAGATGAGATAGCCCTCTAATTAAGTACAAATGTAAGTTGGCATTGATGATGTATTTATGTGATAGCTAAAATGTATGAAAACATATGTTCTTTTTAAGTCAACAACATAGAGTAATTATGATTCAGACACACTAATGATATGCCTAGAAATCACAGGGCTGACTAAGGTTTCCTGTTTTGAATTCTTCACTACCTAATTACACTAGACAGTCTTAGTATTTAGCATTTCATCTATTACTGGCTATTAGCACTTTTCTTTAAGTTTGCAAAGCATTTAGTCCAGTATGGACTACTTCAATATTAAAAATAAAAATGTTAATGCTCTAGTCTATGGTTCTCAATAAAAACTTGACATACATATAGAAGTTTCTTTAGCCCATACATCTTAGCTAGAAGTAATAATATAGGAATCAAAGATAATTATTTCTTAAAAGCCTTATCCACCACCATCTGGGAATCACAAAGATTAAAAAGCAACCATCATGATTATACCTACCTATGGGTTTTCATGTGCTTTTTGCAATTTAGTGAGGTCTTAAATGTTTTCTGGCAATAGGGACACATATAGGGACGAAGGTCATTATGGATACCCATATGCCGCCGTAAGCTCCCACCAGTAGTGAAAGCTCCATTACATATCGGACACTTGAAAGACTTTAGTCCAGAGTGTGTTCGGATGTGGGCTTTGAGCACTCCTGCAGAAACAAAGCCTCTTCCACACTGAGAACATTTAAAAGGCTTTTCACCTGTATGTGATCTAAAAGAACAAAAGTTTTAATGAATAAGCTTCTCACACTTTTATATGCTTTGTATTCTAGAATGCACTCTCATTACTGTTTCACTTGATCATCACCTTTTTAAGCTAAGCAGCAAAGGTACAGCCCTCCACATTCTGCCAACAAGATCACCTGAGTCCTGGAGGGCTCCAGGGACTCCCCGGTAAAGCCACAGGCCTGGATACAGCTGAGCAAGAACCGGACCCCAAGTCTTGTTCTACATTCTAAACTCTTCTCATGACACCGCACTGGGTCTCATGATCAACTTCTACTGTCTTTTCACCATTGCTGACACAAAGAACTGATCTAAACTCTGATGAATACACCTGAAAAACTGTTAAAGAACATGATTCTAATGGAGTAAATCAAATACTTCTTTGACAGACATGTCCTACAAATCACAAATAATGCAATATATTAGGAGTGTAAAAAATTAAATGGCAATTTCTGGGTAAAATATTTTAGTCAGGACACTAAAGGATAAAAATATCAATCACCAATAAACATTTTGAGGTCAAATGTGACATTTTAAGTTATCAAAAGCTAACACTACTAGCCTTAGTATTTCTGTAAGTCACCAGATCACTAAATCACTGTAATTACACTAAATTTCCATCTATGTAACCTTACCTGATGTGTTGTTTAAGGTGGCAAGATTTTTTATATGCACGATGACAGTAAAAACACTTGTATGGTCTATCTGCTTCATTTACAAAATTATTATTAAAATAGCTTTGAAAAAACTGGTTTCTTGGAATGGGCTGGATAAGACCTACAAACCAAAAGAAAATCAGGAATAATTTATTGCCAATGCTACTAAAAAAGTTACATGTCAAGGCACCTGCTTTGCCCAAAAGATGAAAATTTGGAGGAGTTCAAGTATAGATTCCAGTGTTGGAACTAAATGATATTTTAACTGTTAGGAAGGAACTGGCTATTTAAAGAACACCTACTGGGAAATGTTTATGAAGTTAATATAAGATAGAGATTTTTCACATAAAGAATAGCTACATCGTCGTAGTTACTTCCCCTGGTTCTAATACCAATTTTTAATGGTTTCTTCCTGTACCTTCTATATGGGCATTTGCAGTCATGGATTTTCCATAACCATATCTCAAATTCAGGTTAGTCAGGATTTCAAATCCCTGTTTTTTCAGTTTGTTCAAATCCCTTCTCATATCACTGACAGAAAATTATCTTTACTAAAGGAAGCCATGATCCCAACTGCAATTTGCTCAAATGCCAATAACAGCTCATTATCAAGCACCTTGTTACCAGAGCTGCTCGCATGGTATTCCGGCGCTGGCCTGCGCCCTCTGTAGCCATAACTCTCCACCCACCCGCACCCACCAACCTCCACATGCAGCTTCATCCGGCGCCTCTCCTTCACGAGGCTCTGCTGTTTTTCTGAACAAATCCACACTTTCCCGTTTCTGCACCCCACCTACTTCTCTATCAGAGCTTGTTCCCTCATCTGCTCTCACACTGCTTGTCTCATGTCTCTTTCCCACTCTGCCTTGGCCTGGGACCTACCCCACAGTCACGGGCGGACGGAGCCCTGAGGCCACATCGGATCCACCAACTAGTGCACATGAATACACAGTCAAACAAATTGGGGATCCTGTTCCCAGGGTCTGGAAAATTAGGGCTTGAAGGAAAGAAGCACGCACAGATTCAAACCAAGATCATTTATTTATGTCTTTGGGTCAACCTTTATTAGACATCTACTGTGTTCAGGGAATCATGTTGGAGTCTATGAAGAGAACAGAAAACTAATGTGAATATTCTCCCAAATGGCAACTAAAAAGAGTGGTACCTCGGGTCACCACTAAGCTGATGAACGTGTAAACTTCAAATGCTCACAGCAGAAGGTCTCACGGGATATAATGCACAGCAGCATTATTTGGAATTTTGTGTAAATAGGTTCCATAATTATTGGCATAAAAGTACCACTTAATTAAGATCATAAATGGTAAACAATATCTGATAAGCTATTTTCTTGCTTCTTGTTGGACATAACGGAATGAATGGTTCCTAAGATAAGCTCCAATAAAAAATGTTAAAACTCTCCTTCCACAACTAAAATGCACTGTACAAATATATAAATGTGAAAAATTAATTTTACATGCTTTATTAGACAATAATATATACATTAAAAAATGAGAAAAAAACAGGAAAGTGAGATAATCTTGTTTTTAAGTTACATAAATTGGTTATATAAATTACATACATTCATGGAAGTAGGTAAAATAAATTAAATTCACAAGGTAATTTTGTTGTCCTACATATGTTTCATAGGGGAAAAATAAGATACTTCACAAGTCAGAAAACAAATTATTGATTTGCCATTTCCCACACCAAGAAAGAATGTGCTTTACAAGAGGTGGGGGTGGGGGTAGGGGAGCTGTTCAAAAGCTTACCAACTAGTCAGACCTGAGGTCAGTTAGTAAAATAAGGATCTCAGGTGAGTTTCTCCCTGGAGCTCTGATATACAGTCACTGAGCCCATGTGATGGCAGGGCTGTGGTCTCACAGCAGCAACCAGGCCCTGGGCTGCCCTGATTCAGTCCCCGTGCACAGACCACTGGCCACCTGCTGCCAGCCCTGGGGCCCGACTCCAGAACCTCACCCAGAGGCTGAAGCCTGGCTATCTGCACCAGGCCCTCCTAAGGCCCAGGACCATCCCTCCTCCCCGTGTCACCCCTGCCCTGATGTGGGGAGCATGCACCTCTGCAGCAAACAGCCCATCTACCCCCCACTCTCCTTCCGGCAGCTTCCATGGTAAATTCTCTATCACCTAGAATGACCTCACAGAATGTTTAGTTCATCATTCCTTTTCCATGACAGTCAGTCTCTAGTCAAACTGCCCCCCCAAGCCCTCACCCTCATTCCTAATAACCTGTTCTTCCAGTCTGATGAGGCCTCTCCTCAGTCTGGGCCTGTCTTCTATTTCCCAGTCTGTCTTCCCTTCCTTCGCAGTCCTGCCTGCAACTCCATGAGGCAAATCCCTCTGTCCAGCCCCTTGCCAATCCACCCTTACATGACCTGCAAGTCCTTTCGCCCCTTCTTAAATAATCCGGGTCATAAAAAGAGCAGTAGAAGAGCCCGCCCAGTAACAGCACAGGGAAGACCGCGAGCACGCGCTGCAGGCACTGGCACCGGAGTGTGCTGCACACACAGGACTGAGACGGACTGTGCACACCGCTCTGTCATCACCTGCCATACTTCACATACACATTGACATTCTTCTGCATCATTACCTCTGCGGTCATCCCCGTCACCCTTTGGGTGTCTACAAGGAATTCACTGCACGAATGCACCCGGTTCACTGAGCACACCTTTGATGGGTATTCTGATTGCTTCTATAGGTGCACTGTCACAATCTAGCATACACAACTGCTACCTTAGTGTAGTGTTTCCCCCTACGCCGACCTGGAGTTACAGTCTCTGCAGTGGCGCTCAGGCATATGGATTCTGAAACACCCACAAGATGATTCTGAGCCTGCTTGGCGGGGAGTAGATGGTTTTCTACTTTGGGCTATTAAGGAAGCAAAATAATAGGCCTCATTTTTCAGATACTTTAGTTTTTACCTCTAATAATTTTATACACACACAGTTCTGTTAAAAAAAAATTAGGCTAATTATAAAGCCTCAATCTCTGGAGAAAAAAAAATATGGGTGAATTAAACATACATCAAAGTCCTAAGGTCTCAGCTGTGTCATTTCTACTAGACGGTCAATTCTTTAGCCCTTATTACGTAGATAGTTTGCAGATACTCTTTCCCGTGTGTAGGGGTTGTCTTTTCACTTTGTTGATGGTTTCCTTTGCTGTGCAGATTCTTTTTAGTCTGATGTTGTTCCACTTGTTTATTTTTTATTCTGTTATTTGTTATTCTGTTTTATTCTGTTTTTATTCTGCTTTAAGTAGGTGTGAAATCCAAAAAATCATTACCAAAGCCCATGTTAAGGACCTTATCTTCTATGTTTTCTTTCAATACTCTTCAATCCATTTTGAGTTAATTTCTGAGTGATATAAGATATGGTTCCAGTTTCTTTTTTCTACATGTGAATATCCAGCACCATTTATTGAAGAGATGTCTTTTTTCCACTGAGTATTCCTGGGTCCCCTCAAGTATTTAGTTGACTATGTATGCCTGGGCTTATTTCTGCCTCTATATTCTATCCTACTGGTCTACCTGTCTGTGGTCACACCAGCACCAACTGCCTTGGTAATTACAGCTTTGTAGTGTATCCCACTGGTCTACCTGCAGTGTAGCACTGCGGTCGCACCTATAGACGTCTTGAAGACTATAGCTTTACAGTGTATCCCCCAGCCTCCCTGTCTGGTCGCAGCTGCACTGACTGTCGGGATGACTACCACCTTACAGTGTAGTTCGCAAGCAGGAAGTGTGAGGGCTTCTACTTGGCTCTTTTCAGGATGGCTTTGGCTATGCAGGGTCTTCTGTGGTTCCCCAAAAGTTTAGGAGTGTTTCTAATACTTCTGTAAAAAATTCCATTGGAATCTTGATAGAGATTGCACGGAACCAACAGATGACTTTTAGTGCATCAACATTTTAACAATATTAATTCTTCCAATCCATAAACCCAGGTACCTTTCGATCTGTTTGTGTCTTCTTTGATTTCCTTAATCAATGGCTTGTAGTTTTCAGAGTAATGATCTTTCACCAACTTGGTTCAATTTATTCCTAAGTATTTTATTGTTCTTGATGCTATTGTAAAGGGGAATCAACTTTTTCAGAAAATTTATTGTTATGGTATAGAAAAGCAACTAATTTTGGTGTGTTAACTTTGTCTCCTGCAACATTACTGAGTTCATTGATTAGACCTAATATTTTGGATTGAGTCTTTAGGATTTTCTATATGCAAAATCTTGTCATCTACAATAGAGACTTTTTAACTCTTTCTCTCCAACTCTGGACACCTGTTGTTTCTTTTTCTCGCCTGGCAGCTCTGGCAAGGGCTCCTAGTGCTATGCCAAGTAAGAGTGGTAAGAACAGGCACCCCTGTCCTGTTCCTGATCTTAGAGGAAAAGCTTTCAACCTTTCACCGCTGAGTACATTCCCGATTGTGGGCTTGTCACGTATGGCTGTTATCATGTTGAGATACGTTCCTTCTAGGCCTGATTTGTCAAGAGTTTTTATCATGACTGGTTGAATTTGTCAAATGCTTTTTCTGCATCTACTGAGATGATCATAGGATTTTTTTCTTTCCGTCATATACGGCCACACTGATTGAATAGTACATGTTGAATCATCCTTGCATTCCCCAGGATGTATCTCGCTTGATCATGGTGAATGACTCTTTTAATGTGCTGCTGAATTCAGTTTGCTAGTATTTTATTGAGAATTTCTGCATCTGTCGTCTTCAGAGACATTGGCCTATAGCTTCCTCTTCTGGGAGTGCCTTTTTCTGGTTTTGGTATCAGGATGGTGTTGACCTTGTAAAATGAGTTTGGGAATGTTCCCTCCCCTTGATTTTTTGGAAGAGCTTGAGGAGGACTGGTGTTGATTCCTCTTTAAATGTTGGGTAAGATTCACCTGTGAAGCTGTCTGGTCCTCGGTTTTTCTTCACTGGGAGATTTTTTGATGACTGACTCTTGTAATTGGTCTGTTTAGATTTCCTATTTCTTCCCGATTCAGTCTTGGTAGGTGGTATGTTATTAACAATTTTTCCATTTTCTCCAGGTTGTCCAGTTTGTTGACGTGTAGTTGTTTGCAGTAGCCTCATATAACGCTTTGTATTTCTGTGGTATCAGTTGTAATACCTTCTTCACGCATAATTTTGCCCATTTGGGTCCTCTCCCTGTTTTCCTTGGCTAGCCTAGCTAAAGATTTGTCAATTTGGTTTATCTTCTTAAAGAACTGACTCGTAGTTCGGTTAATCTTCCCTGCTATTTTCTGTTCTCTATTTCATTTATTTCTGCTCTAATCCTTATTATTTTCTCCCTTCTGGAGACTTTGGGATCAGTTTGTTGTTCTTTTTTCTAATTCCTTAAGGGGTAGAGTTAGGTTGTTTATTTGCGATCTTTCTTGATTCTTAATGTTGGCATTTATCGCCAGGAATGCCCCCTTCAGAACTACTTTCACTGCATCGCACAAGTTCTGAGACATTGTGTTTCCATCTTTGTTTCCCCTTTAATTTCTTCTTTGATCCATGGGTTGTTCAGGAGTGTGTTGTTTAATTTCTATGTGTTCGTGCATTTTCCAGTTTTCCTCTTGTTGATTTCTAGTTTCATGTCACTGTGGTTTTGTGGCCTAACATATGCTCAATCCTAGAAAACGTTCCACATGCACCCAAGAAGAAAGTGTATTCTGCTGTTTTCAGACAGAATGGTCTGTTAGACCCACTTGGTCCACAGTGCTGTTCAAATCTTCTGTTTCCTTACTGATCGCGTCTGAATGATCTATTCACTGTTGCAAGTGGGGCACCGAAGTTCCCAGCAATAACTGTGTCACTGTCTGTTTCTCCTTTTCTCTCTGTTAGCTTCTGCTTTATATATTTAGGTGCTCCCATGTCGGGTGCATACATGTTCATACCTGTTATTCCTTACTGATGTACTGACCCCTTTATCATTACAGAATGACCTCACCTCCTCCTTTGTCTCTTTTCACCATTTTTAGTTTGAAGTCCATTCTGTTTGCTGTAACTACCCACTTTTTTTTGATTATCATTTTCTTGAAATGTGTTCTTTCATCCATTCACTCTCATTCCATGTGTGTTTTTAAGGCTGGAGTGAGTGTCCTATAGGCAGCATACCATTGGATGTTGTTTTTTAATCCATTTGGCCATGTCTATGTCTTTTCAATAGAGATTTAATACATTTACATTTAAAATAATTTTTGATAGGTAAGGACTTACTACTGCCATTTTGTTCATTATTTTCTGGCTGTTTTGTAGATCAGCTGTTCCTTGTTTCTTATCCTGCTGCCTTTTTCTGTGTTTTGATTTCTTTTGGAATCAGTATGCTTTGACTTCTTTATCATGTCTTTGGTGCTATTACTAAAGGGTTATCCCTTGTGGTTACCATGAGGACTACACAAACTATTTTATAATCATAACATCCTCTTTTAGACTGATAACAAATCCAATCAAATTCATAAACTTTAACTTTTACTTTTCCTCTCCCTCACATTTTAAGTTACTGCTGTCAACATTTATATGGTTTTTTTAATATTATGTAACTAATAACAGATGTTTGTAGTTGTGATATTTTCACTATGTTCTTTCCTTTTTAACTTTTAAAACTAGAGTTGTAAGTAAATTATGCACCACAGGACCATACTGCAGAATCTAACCCTGACTGTGTATTAACATGGCCAGTAAGATTTACACCACCTTGTTATGTATTTATGATGTTAATTACTGTTTGTTTACTTCCACTCAAAGTAGTCCCTTTAGCATTTCTTGTAAGGCAGGTCTGGTGGTGATGAATCCCTTAACTTTTTATGATGGTGGTAGTGAATTTCCTCAGAATATTATTACCAACTTGACTCTAAAACTTCCCCAGTCTGCACATTATTTTATTTAAAATTTAGTTCTTGAATTAGAAGAAAAAATAGTTAAGGTATAATAGACAGCACACATCTAGTGAAATATAATCCCCAAAATGCAATCAACTACATAATATTCAAGTTTAGTAAAGACTGCTGGTGCTTGGCTCTAAGATATGATGATTATTTGAAAATCAAGGTGTGCTCGTCTCTACTTCGTGCCCAGAATGCAATGGTAATGAGTGTAGGAAGGAGATGAGCTTTACTGAGCATGCCCTGGTCTGAAAGTCGGAAGATCCAGATTCCAGTTTTACCATGAGCTCTAACTAGTTATATAACCTAAAAGCAATGTTAGAACTCTCTCTCGAGCCCATTTTTACATCTGTGAAAATAAGGAATGAGGAATGTAGGAAACTTTTTTTGTGTAAAGATTATTAAGTTCTCATGCAGCTCTAGAAGTTTTTAAAAATGTATGACCATATGGTACAATACCACCCAACAGTGCTCCCTTAATATGCAGAGATTAAATTAGTTGGTATAGCACTTTTTAATGCATTCTAATACTTTCCTTAGTGAGTCTTACTGTAAAACACACTGTGTTTTAGCTAACTACCCTGAACTGGAACATCTCATTTCTTAATTAAGCAAATAATTTTAACTCATCTATGCTAAAACCTTCTCTGTCATGTTTTTATCAAAATCTGTCTCGCAAAGATTATCACAGTCACATATTTTCTTTAGAGCTCCCAAGGAGCTCAACAGACAGACACAAGTATAAATAACAATGAAGTTAGGCATAAAAATAAGCATTTATAGTATTTTACATATGACAACATGGAGTTGCCTCTGTGAACCAGGGCCCTGTCTTACTCAGCCTGGACCGAAGGAGAACTCCACCTGCACTGGTCTGGCCTGAGATGCGAGGGTCTTTGAAGCCAAAGAACAGATATACCCCATTTTGACCCTGGGAAAAGTTCTGGACAATCAGGACTCCAGTTTAACTCAACTAAGGATTTATTAGCTTAAAGTCAAGAAAAACTATGGGTGTTTAACTTGATTCATGGCAACCTGAAAAAACTGGTAATTTGAGGGTAATCCTCAAGTATCAAGTATAATCCTAGGGCTATTTAGAAAATGTTTAATCTGCCCTGACTTTCAGAGATTTTTCTGCATTTTGGGACTAACACAAACACTGGGAACCTGTAGACTATGGTGAAGATTAAATACACATTAAGTGACAGTGGTCTGTTGTTTTATTTTGGGAGTCACCAAAGCAGAGAAGGGCATCATAGGGTCTGACTTCCCATGGGAGTTTCTATGCCCACAGCAGTTAAATACTCTTAAGAATTACAGTTCCTAGGAAGTTTAAAAGAACCATACATAAAATCATCAGAGACTGGTATTTTGGGGAAGATGATCTTCAATATTGTGTTTTGGGGTTTTCCATTTCTTCTGGAGTCTATTCTGGTAAGTACATTATTCTAGAAATGATCCATCTCATCTAAATTTTCAAATGTATTAGCAAAAATTGTACAGTATTTGCAAACAATTTTTATCTCATGTGCTTCTGTGTTAATAGCCTCTCACTCATAATATAATGTTTTCTCAGTCTCTGATTTACTACTGGCATGTTACCTATTTTGCTGTTCATTTAAAAAATTTTTTTAATTACTTAGGTTCACTAGAATTTTGTCCTCTATCTTAATTTCTTTTTTACTTAATTCCTTTTTGCTATTTTCTTTTAATTTTTCTAGCTTAAATTATATGTATATTTTTCATTCTTTCTTATTTTTTAGTAAATACCTTTTAAAAGTCTTCATTTTTCTGATGACAGTTTTGGTCCATCCAATCTATGTATATAATGCTTTCATTTATATTATATAATTGTAGTTTTTAGTTTTTCTTTTCCATATAATTAAATTTTAAATAACTATTTTCTATTAGTTTATATTTTCATTGAACTGTAATCAAAGATTGTGTCCTATACAATATCAACTTTTGAAAATCTGAAAGTTCCATATCTTAGAATGTGATTAATTTCTAATCCATGCATACTTAAAAATGTGTATTTTAGACTAAAAGATTCTAAAAAGCTACATGTTTCAAATCCTCGAGTTTCACTGTTTTGTTAAGCTGATCTGAGGATCTCTTTTATACTCCAGAATTTGAATATTTTTCCTTTCTTCTAATTGTTTTTGGTTTATAGTTTGATATTATGCTTCTAGACAACTGCTAATCATCTCATTAGTGGACTATAAATTATATTAATCTAATATTTCTATACCATCTGACCTTCATAATAAATTATATTTTATTTGGCATTAATGTTATTCATAGACTGGATTATCTTGTCTAAGACAATGATAAAATACAGAACTGCATAAAAATGTATGTCATCACAAAAAATTAATGAGGTTTACTTAATTTGTTCTAGCACAAAAATCATTTTTCTGAAGATTCTCATAAGCAGAATTTTACTATTAGTTAATAAACAAAATCATAGTGACACTGAGTCTAAAAAACCCTTAAAAGCCAGCAGTACTTCTGAATCCAAAGATTAAAGCACCCCAGTAATCTACTACATACCATGTAAGGATTTTAAGGTGAAAATAAGGGAACGCGCTATGCGCTTTGCATAAAGAGCACTTGTCCATCTTTGATGGTTTCAACGTGGCAGATACGTTTCTTCAATGAGGATTAATACAGTAATAGCTTCACTTAACGTACTACATCTCTCTTAGGAACATAATTTAAGGAATAGTTTAGACAGGGCTAGGATTTTAATTAATCATGGAACACACTGGCTCCTAAAGCAAAACAATGCTTAACAAAAAATACATTAACACCATGCCTAAAACTATTTAACCGTGTAGATCATAATATTTATATGCCCTTTGCAAGATACCAAAGGGGAGAGAATCTTACCTACGTCAGTTATAAGAATTGGCTCTTGCAAAGGAATGTCAGGGACTGGAACATGTGCCTTGCCGACACGGACCTTGGCAGGTTTACGCTGATGCCGCATCTTTCTTAACTCCGTGTGTTTAAAGTGGGAAGCAATGTGAGTCTTCCTATGGCCTGAAGTTCGAAATTTTTTGTCACAGTGAGGACAAGCAAAAGGCCTGACTCCTACGAGAAATGAAAGTAAACCATGGAATTATTTATTTCAAGGAAACACATCTCAACACTTAATGTCAACATAAAATTCTAGGATTTTAATATTGAGTTGAACATTCAATTTGTCAGATGATGCTAATTATTTTATGGATATTCTAGAATAGAGTTATTTTCCCTTGTCTGCATACAGTGCATATTATAGATGATAAGGCATATAATAAGAGCATTCTAAGTAAAAAAGAGTATTTACTGCTATCAGGCGAAAACCTTACCTAGTACAATGTGGATATTCAAACAACTAGCAGCCCTTGGGGATACCGAAGTGCACGAGACTGCCCTCTCTCTCCAATCCCCTGCGTGCTGGAGGAATGCCACCGCCAGGCGTGCTGCCAGGCCGTGCACACCAATGTCTGAAATGGTGCTGAGCGGTGCCAAGCACTCAGTCAGCGGCAGCAAACGGCAGTTGTTAGGACTGTAAACAATGCTGCTGCTTGTGCGATGACACTGAGAACATCGTCTGAACAACCTCTGCTATCACTTCCCTTCCCGGAAGAAAACTCCCTTCACTGACATGTCCATCAATAAGTGAAAGTGCAGATTCTAAGGGACATACAGCGCCACCGACCCGCTCCAGCTCCTGCAGGGACTCTTCCACACGGTCAGTTTGGCCCAGAAACGCCGAGGGAACAGGGGAAGTCACTACCAATGGGTGTGGGGTTTCTTTTGGGGATGAAGAAAATGTTTCAAATTTAGGTAGCAGTGCAGGTCGCAGTACTGGACTGTATACTTTAAAAGGGTGAATGTCATGATCTATGAATTTTACCTCAATAAAGCTGACATAAACAAAATTGGAGCCTGAACATAAAAGCTTTCACGCCTTAATGCTGATCACAACACACCTGAGAGGCAGAGCGGTGTTAAGGCCCGCCTCCCTGCCCGCGGGGTGTCGCGGTCCCCCACCCTGTGGATGATGGGTCCTCCTGGGAAAGGCCCCCCTCACCTGGCTCTACCTCCAGGCGCCCCCACACAGTCTCTCTCTCCTGTCTCTGCACTGAGTGTTCATTCCTCCCAAGTGGTCCTGCTACCACCTCCCTCATGAAGCCATACCTCATGCCTCGTCTGCAGAAGATAATCATAAATACTTAAACACAGAAAAAGGAGTCCTCGGAGTGTCAGCTATCACCCACAGACTCCGGGTGACCCAGTCTGCGGCCTGAGGGCCGTCCCCAGGATCCCCGGCGCACCTGTGTGGAGGCGAATGTGCACTTTCAGGCTCCCCGAGGTGGAAAAACTCTTCATGCAGTACTGGCACTTGAAGGCCTTGATGCCCGTGTGCGTTTTGATGTGGGCGGTCAGAGTGCTCTTTACCGCAAAGGCCCGGAAACACTGTGGGCACTTGAAGGGCTTCTCATGGGTGTGAATGCGGATGTGACGAACCAGGTCACTGGGCTTCCGGAACCCCTTGGTGCAGTAGGGGCACACGTGCCATCGGACGCCATTCTCCTCGCGGATTGAGCCTGGAACAAAATTAAACAAAAGCCGTCCAGCTTGGCCTAGAAACCATGGTACACCAAATATTAAGGCCCTTTAATGTCCTGCTAGGGTGGGATTAAAACAGCACCCCATGCCTGTACAACACTGTATGCCTCTTGCCACAGTGGGTACATGATCCATTATGGAAAAAGCTGAGATTTCCATAATCACTGAAATTAGAGAGGATTATCATTCCATCTTCAGGGAATCCTACCCATCCTGTGGAAAAACAATCCCAGCCTGGGAGAGGTAAGTGCACTACCTGGGCAGGCGACGTAAACCAGGGCTAGCGGCAGAGACTCACCATAAATGTGCATGAGGGTAGATGTGATCAAATGACTCTGAAGTTAACTCAGAGAACATGAAGAGAAGGGGTGAACTGGAAATAAGTACTGTTTGAGCCTATCTAATATCACTAATAAAAAAATAAAACTGTAAATATTTAGGAAATGGTAAATTCTTAGGCTATACATGGGAACCTACAAATAGTTAAGACAAAGAAACAGTATATATGACATGAACTAGTTTGTGACCAAATATGAAAATTCTCTCATTTGTAACTCTAGGTATTATTATTCAACTTTGAATTAGGCTTAAAACTATTCCAATCAGAAGAAAAATCACAAGTAGAGTTTATGGAAATATAGTAAGTAAAATGATTTCTAAAATATAAAAACTTTCAAAAACAAAATTCAACAGAATCATTTTTATTTAATTTTTATTAGATTTAGTCCCGTGAAATCAAATAGACACTTATAGGGTAAAGAATCCACTTAAATTAAAAGGATTTTGGCTATATTATGAAATCCTGCAGAAGATTTTAACTCTATTTAACTGTGTCTGTACAGACATGGTTTTATTATGGAAAAAGAAAATCTCTTATTTCCTTCTCTTTCTTATCAGTAAATACAAGGAATTCTTATGAACAAGTGAATCTGTAAAGAGAAAAAAAATCTATTTTTCTTAAATATAATGCTCTTTGCAAAATTAACACAGGAGGGATAGTAGGTAAAAGCGTTAAAAATAAACAGTGACACAAAGACAAGGACAAAGGGTAACATACACAAACCGCAAGGGAAAAAAGAGGAGGAAGGAAGGGAAATGATTTTAAAAGTGAGAGAAAGACATCTTTTTTATGGTGCTATTATTTATATTAAGGAAGTCCAAAGCTTAAGATGCTTAAAAAAGTATGTAAAAATTAATTCAGAAAAGTACAATAATTACCTAAAAGCCTTGTGAAAAATCCACAAAGCATGGCATAAAAAGGTAAGCGAGAACTGTAATAGTCACTACGTAAAATTAGGAAAGCATCCACCAAAGGAAGATTTTTTCCAAACAAAAATGAAAACCTATCTTTAATGACATAAGATGACATAAAACTGTCACCAGGTTCTAATTATCTCTGGGAACAGACAGGAACAGAGATTACAAGCTGGCGGCTCTGATGCTATCTTCACGCCTGGCGAGCGCATGTCTGGTCTGGCCCCAGATGGCCGAGCCCCAGAGGACCCGGAAGACCAGCTCTGCATCTCCCCACAGCAACTTCCCTGAGGCTGGGCAACAGCTTTTCTCATCAAACACAGTAATACACTTAAAAAGAAAAAACATGTTATGATCATCTTCAAGATGAAAAAGCAATTGCTGAAATTCAACACTTTGTCTTAACATTTATAAAATAGTCCAAAAACAGCAAGAGGTGAATAAAACATCTCCATACATTTGACTTAATAGGAAAATACTAAAAGCATCTAAAGTCAGGAAAAAGTTCACTATCACTGACATTGATTTATCATGTTCTAAAGATAACAGCCAAAGAAATTAGATAAGATAAAGAAATATGAAGTATCAACTCTAAGGGAAAAGGTAAAATCATTATTTATAAATGATACTACATATCAAAAAAACACTAAAACTCAAAAGGAGGCCCATGTTTTAATACATGAAAATCAACATCCTTTATATGTACAAAATCAAGAATAAAATATTAAAATACTACTTAAACATGAAAGAAAAATCTGAATAAATTGAACTGTATACTCTATTCTTTGGCACAAAGACAATAATTCTCCCTGGTTAAGTCACTTACATGTAAATAACAATAAGACTTTTAGAACTAGAGTTTTGGAACTTTAGCAGATGATTCTAAAGTATACATGACAAGATAAATATGTGAAAATAGTCAAAATTACACTTTAAAAAAAGTATAACAAGAGAAGACTAGGCCTCCTGGGTATGAAAGCCCACTATAAAACTAAAACCATTTGGTACCAGAGCACATGAATGAAAAAACAGGTTAGTAGAACAGAATAAAGCCCAGAAAAGACCTATGTAGTTTTGAGAGTGTAATGTATGATAAAGGTGGTACTGCATTTTGATGGGGTAAATATGACCTATTTAATAAATGGTGTTTGGACAGCTGGGTGCCCATCTGGAAACAAAAAATAAAACTGAGTCAAAGATTTAGTTTAAAATATGAAAATATAAAAGCATTAGATAAAACAGGTTATTTTTCAATAATGTCAATGCTGAAGTATAAGTATTACACAAGTCCAAAAGTCATACAACTTTGGCAAATTTGACTATATAGAAAGAAAACACTTCTCCCCATTTGACTTATAAAGACAAAATATGTTCCTCTTTAACACAAAAGGACAAATTAGAAAAGAAAATATGCCACAAATACAGATCACAAAATACTATCATCCTTAATGCATCATAACAAGTAAAAGGCAAGAGTCAGTCCAACACTGGAAAGGTGTCCTTCAACACGAAAAGCTCCTCAACCTTACTCTTGTAAGATAAATGAAAACTACAAAAAGAAAGCATTTTTTACTCTAGTAAATGAGTGAAAAGGATCCCAAAAGTTTGATAACAACCCCCCAAAAAATGTGAGGGAACAGCATCCAGTATGTTGTTGGGACTATAAATTGATATAACCCCTTGGAGTTTGGGAACCAGCAATATTTACCAAACTTCAAGTCTATGAATTTTTTTCTTTTGTCATCAAGCACATGAATGACACAAAGAAATCTGAATAAGATCTGTAGGCTGGATCCATTTTCACACTGTTAATGAATATACTATTGTTATGTAAAACTGCCCTTGGTCTTAGGAAATACACACTGAAGAACTTCAGAATTAAAGGGGTACTGTATCTGCAAGTCATTCTCAGAAAACTCAGGAAATACAGGTAAAGAAAAGCAAATGAAGGAAAATGGTAGGATTTGGAGAGAATCTAGACGAAAGGCATATGGGAATTCTTTCATTGTTTCTGCGAAATTTTTTTAAGCCTGAAATCATTTCAAAATTAAAACCCTAAAACAATCTTTACAGAACTTATTCTTTCAAATCTCTGACATTTCCAGAAATGTACCCAACAGATACATTTACATTTATTCTGCTTTTATTAGAAAAAAATTGCAGATAACCTAAATATTGTTTATCCATAAAATGGAATTCCCTTAAAAGAAGGTATCAGGTTGAAAAAAGGAAACTGCAAAATAATACATGCGGTATGATGCTTGTTCTGCTAAAAAAACGACGTGATATATAAAAACATGCCTATGCTTACTTAACATCAAAGAAGACCCCAGTGATGGTGGCTGCCCTGGGAGGGTGTGTAGAGGGCAAGGATGAGCAGGGGGCTTTTCACCACTGTACACCACTTTGTATCATTTGAATTGTGTGGCATGAGCAAGTTTCATCTATTTAAAAATTTCAAAAATATATGTATTTTTTAAGCACTTGTGTGAGGCACTATTCTGCACACCTTACATGGACTTTCTCATTCTGTTCTCTTCCGTTTATTCTATCATTGCCCCATTTTACAGATGAGAATGACATTTTGGAGGTTAACTTAACCAAGTTCAGACACCAATAAATGGAAAATGTCAGGGTGCACGCTGAGGTCTGTGTAATTCTACAGCCTGAGTGAAAGTTTTCAGAAAGGCCTGTCCTCCCAGCTACTTCAAGGAGAGCACCAGCTGCATGTTCAGTAAGAGCCGCGTGCCGCTCCAGGAGGCCCTTGCCCTTGTGGCCGCGCAAGTGTGGTGGAGCACCCGGTGCGCTACGGCAGGAATCTGCACTGGCGTACGTGGGTACACAGGCAGCACAGCCTTGCTCATGATCCACCTCCCTCAAAAACGTCTGCATGCACGACATGACCCTGTAGCTGAGCTGTGAAAGGCAAGTGTTTGATTGCCAAGAAGGACCTGGTGTGAGGCGCATCTCCATGCAAAAGAAGCGAAAGCCACGTACGAGGTTCCAAAAGCCAGGTACTGAATCCAACATGGCTGGAGCACGGGATGTCCAGTGGGAATCGGCAAGCAGGCTTAGAGCTTGAGAGGCCGGTCGGGAGACGACGGAAAGCCTGTGTGACACGGGAGGCCTTCCCACAGGAGACCGGGATCCTGGATGTGGCCTCCTCACTCCTCAATCAGTTCCCATGCAAGAGAAGGCGCCAGGGGACACAGCCCACTCCCTCTCTGGCGCCAGTGCGGCCGAGTGCAGCACGAGGGTGCCAAGACGGGAAGGTCCTGGTGCTGCAGGCGGGGGTGGAGCTGAGAGGGAAGATGCACGCGGGCTCCTCTGTGGGGTCAGAGGGCACACCTACTGTATCCGCAACACTGCGCCCAGAGCAGCAGGGGAGGACAGACGGACTCTTCCAGTGCCAACCCAAATGCTGACTCAGACTTTGGAAAGGGCCCTGGCTTATTTCAGGCAGTCAGACCCCCCAGATGCCTGGCAGATGTGCACAGAGGTTCCAGCCCAGAAGACATACCGTGATAGTCCCAGAAGGTTGTTCTTCTTCCAAGTACTACATCAAGTTAAGTACAAATATTCCAAGCTAACATCTATTGACCCAGAGAAGACCTTTATTCATATAAGAAAATACAGCCTACATCTTTGCCTTTTTGTTACACGGTATCTTACTAAATGACCCTATTTGGTGGTGGTGGTGGTTGACATTTTCTCAGCAGTGGACCTAAACCCTAGAGAGCGGTTCTGTATCACAGAATCCTTACGGCTACTGACCCAGTTGGTGGGTCATCACGTGCTGCATACACCAGAGGAGGCTGCAGGAACACTAATAAAGATGCCACCTGGGAACAGTGCATTCCAAACCAGGTGGAATCATGGTACCAAACCTTACAAAATTATCAGGACTCTAATTCAGAAGTGACACGTCAATGACTTAAAGTGGGTGGCCTCTTAGGGACTTATCCTATATCCAGTGATAGGTCTATAAGTGTGCAGCTAGGTCACATGCCAGTGTAACTTCTATAAGAGGAAGAATGTGACCATTTATTTGAAACTGTACAGAAAGGAAGACTTGATGAAATGAAACTAGGACAATTTTTGTGTCAAGTCTCACAGTCTACTAGGTTTTTTAGCATTGACCAGGAAGATGATGTGGACTTCCTGGCCAGATTTTTTAAGCTGGAAATGGAATGGAACTTAAGTGGACTCAAATATTTAAGAGTGGAGACATTCAGACTGCTCAAGAGGCAGCCCTGGTGTGGCTACCGAAGCAGTGCTGGTATCGTAGCTGCTGAGTCCTGAGGATGGGGGCATCCCGCACCATCACTGGGTGCTGTGATGACCATCTTCAGGTCTGGACCCTGTTCATGGGGCTCTCCAATCAGCCAAAGCTGATGTAGAGGCAACCACACTGGCCATTACGGAAAACGTGACTTATGATGAAGAACGTAAGTTTGAAATGAGGTGAAGGTGAAGCCATGCTTGTAGTAAATAGAAAACAGCTCAAGTTATTGTTGGGCACGTCACTCAGTTGTCACCAGTTATTGCTAGACTGTTGGCACAGTCTTTCTTCTACCCTGAGAATGGGTGGACCACACGGTCAATGGAAGCAGGAAGAGCAATAGCATTGCTGTGTGAGTTAGCAGAAGCTCTCCTGCCACCGCACGGGGCTCACTTTCCAGGTGATGTTTCCAAAGCTAGTGCCCCGCGGGGGATGCAGACTCTGCTGACATCAGGAGTTAGTTCCCAGTAGCATGTACCTGTGACACTGGGACTCTTCCCAACTATGGTTCCATATGAGGAGTTCTCACAGGTGAACCACAGCAGTCCTTGGGTCATAGGAGTCCTGGCATTCAGTCCAAACGCACAGAACTGCTGACTGCTGTCTAGACTTGCTCATTCTTGCAACAAAAAAGCAATCCTTTAATTGAGGATCTTCTAAATAAATACAAGACTGACTAGAGCTTTCTCCACCTGAGAAGAGTTACCAATCCTTAATTAGCAGCCATAATTAACTACTTATTTGTAAGATAGCTGGAAAGCTGGTGGCTACAGGGAATACCCAGCAAGGAGGAAAGCATTATGAGGGATCTGTTGACTTCTACTAATAAAGAAATTTTAAATTGTTAGAAAAATGGATGCTGACACAAGAAGAAGAGAGGCAGGCATCTCTAGCTTAAGAGTCTCAACCACACTGCTCAATGTGCATGCGGAACCAGCAAAGCTTTCTGCAGTGAGCAGACTGTGAGATGATACTTTTCCAAAGTTTATTTGTACTGCTTGCAGGCATTCTTACCAGCCCCCAGAAGTCTTTTACAAAACAATATTCTCAGAAGTATAGTTCATTGAATGATTATTTCCCTACAGGGAAAAATTCTCCCCATCCACCTCAGAATTAATGCTCAAAGACTGAAGCAGAAGACCACCAGGAGTTCATTCCCCTATCAACCAGATTAAGGCCAACTTTTAAGACACAGGAATCATCATTTTACAATGCATATTCACGCCCACGCTTCACGCAGTTTTTGAAGTAGTGCCCCCATGAGCAGGGAGCACCAGTCTGCAGCCTGAGAGGGGCGCTCTGCTTCTCTGCACAGGCCACAGGCAGTGGGATGAGCAAAGTCGGAGCAGAGCAAGGTGCAGAGGTCACTCGGCAAGGAGCAGTGGAATCTCCAGACCCCATCACACAGAGGACATGCTTTCTCAGCCTCTCAAAGCTAGCAGAAGTCCAGGAAGCTGAAACTGGCCTGTGGGGAGTGGCCGATTCTGCTTGTGAGCACAGAGCATTTCCCAGCGCCTCCACAGCAAATCCCCGGCCGGGCAGCTGCACAGACTCTGCCTGCACCTGGAGGGGCTCTGGGAACAGCCCACCCTGACCGGGGCCCAGAATGTGTTCCCGTCTTCAACCAGAGGACATGCCCCCCTGGCAAGCAGCTCCACAAAAGACTCAGGAGTTTGGGCAAGCTCTCTAGCAGCCTGGTGCAAACGTTCTTAAGAATGACTTAAACATGTTCTTCCAGAGAGAAAGGCCCTAAGGACTAAATCTCCCTGGGCTGCCTCCATCATCAGGAACTCCAGTTAGTGACACATAAAGAAGCCATTTTTCTGTGCCATCCATACTAGTCTTTTCAACACGGCTTCAGTTTTATTGCAATATATGTACTGAGATTTTCCTATAAAACTCGTGTAATTTTCCCTAAATACAGGTATGTGACAATGAGAGAAGATACCTGCATGTCAACTCAAGTGGTTCTATATAAAAATGCTGTTTAAACTTACAGCAAAGTTATCCTACCTTTATGTCTTTTAAATTTGAGACTTCAAGTCTTCCAAAAGGACCACAGCTGTGGAAAATATGTTTGAAAATTTTAATTTTCTTTTGTGTTGGCACACACAAAGTATAGGGGAATATACTAATTAAAACTTTTTATAGATACCAATTACTTCAAATTGTTTCAACACCAATGTGTACTCTATGAAAGAGGTGTTTCCATAAATGAACAGGTTTATTAGTAAGTGCTGGTGTTACATTTTTTTTTCTAAAACAGTATATTTTACATTGTGAAATTGAAAAAAAAAATGGCCAAATTTAAAAATGTGTCACAAAGAAAAAAGAAGGTGAAAAAAGAGAAAGAGAGAGAAATGGAAAGTAATGTAGCCTAGACTGAATATGTGGTTTGTTTCACCTTATTTACTGTGATTTTACCACATCACAGATTAAAGTAGGAAAACAACATGGTCATAACAATAAGAAAAAAAAGCATTTAATAATATTCAACATAAAGGAGAAAACAAAAAACCTTAATAAGCTAACAACCGAAGGGAATGCCCCCTAATCTGAAAGATCTCTATACAAACCTACCATAAAAATCCACACTGAATTTTGAAACATGAAAATCATCCTCTTTAAAAATCCGGAGGGAGGGGAGTCTAAGACAGCTGGGCTGGAAGGCCCAGTGCCCGGGAGTAGACTCTCACGGGGGGGAGAAAGCAGCCCACATTTTACCACCGTTGCGGTTTTTAATTTTAAATATCACACGAATGCTGTTAGGAAGATACTATCAGAGGATTCAACAAACTATCATCTTCGGAAGAAACAAAGGAGGGTGTATTTCTTAAAAACCACGCTAGGCCATCCCATGCCCCTAAACCTTAAAGCATTTTTAAATTACCAGGTAGAAATGGTGATTTCTTCTTTATGATCTTTTTTTCCTTCTTTTCCGGCTTCTCTTGGCCTTCCTGTTCTTTTTCTGGCTCCGCACCTGGCTCGGTCTGCTCACTTGGAACGCTGGGCACGTCTGGGTGCTGAGCCTGCACCACAGAAGGCTTGGCGCGGCCAGAGTCGCGCGGGTGAGCTGCAGCTGGAATTGAAGACAGCCCACTGTTTTCTAAGGCTTGCTGAGACAGAACAAAACTAACAGGTTAGGACATCTGATGGCCAAGGTGCCCACCAACATCAATTACACAGATGTGATCAAGCTTCCCCTGTAGAATTTTAATTCCGCCCTCCTAGGAACAAAAATCTGCATTTCCAAGTAGTTTTGTAAAAGCAAGACTTCCAACTTTGGGGGCTCAAATGTCTCTTTTTCCTACCTGACATCTCATTTCTACCCAAAATGCAACAGGGCAGGCATTTGCATTTCTCAACCAAAGGCAATGAAAATGAATGACTGGCTTTTGGACAGTCTGCCTCGGACCCCCGTGGCTGTCTCTGACTAAACTGAGGCTCATGTTTTAGGTCACACGGGGTTACCCTGAAGACATCAGCTGTCACGATATCCTGAGACTCTTTACACATTGCCAACTTGTCATCACGGGGGTACAGATAGGAGAAAGGTTACTTTTTACAATAAGTAAACAGAAAAAGGAAGACAATCCCTGTTCAGAAATGAAGAATCTGCACATAGGGCTGGACTGGGGCAGGACAATCAGAAAGGCCTCTGTTCCCGTCTCCCTGTGCTCCCACCCCTACAGGCACCAGACGCGCACACACTGGTGAGGGGGCAGGACTGACTCTCAGAACGCTTACACCCGAACCTGAAGAAAGAATAAAATAGTTCTTATGCTTGTCAACAGAGAGTTATAAGAATGATCTGAAAAGCCTACATTTTTCAAGTAAATTCACTTACAGAGAAAAAATTAGTTTAAAATCAATTTTAACAGTGTAAAAATTAATAAATTAAGAAGAATTCTGCATTGTCCATAATTAATTAAATTAGCATATTTTGCTTCAATATAGGACACATTTTTAATGCAGACTCTTCTACTTTGACAAGCTCTGCATATTTATTTTTCAACAGCGATGCCCAGTTTCTGACACACACAGACGAGAGCAGGTAAGCAGGCCTCACCTGCAGAATGTCCTGGCTGACCCCCACGGCGATGCTCAGCTGCTGGCCCGGCTGGGGGGCCTGGCTGGGCTCCCCGGGCCCCGGCTCCGAGAGCCCCAGGAGCTGCTGGATGACGTCGGTCACTGCCTGTGAGTTCTGCTCACTCGAGGCTGACGTGACTTGGGCTTCCGTCTGTTGAAGAGGTAAAGTCTGAAACAGCGTGGCCTGAAACACAGCAACATTTTCATTAAAAATGTAAAGTTACACTAATTTGTACTTCAATTAAAAAAAATAAAACAAACAGGCATATCTTGCCCATGAACATTAGAAACTAACAATATCCCAAATACAAATTTCAAAAAAAAATCCTCAGTCATTTTTATGTTAGGCACAATAATGGCTCTTAAAAGAACATGTTCAATGAATTTTTCTACTATAATTTTTCATAAGTTTTTTAAGTGGTAGTACAGACTATAATTCAAGATGGTAGATTGAACACACAAACCTCATCATCCTGTTAGTCCACTACAATGAAGGAATAGAAAAATGTTAAAAAATAAAGAAAATAAGAAAGAAGCCACTGGGGTCAGAAAGATTGAACAAATTTCCAGAAAACAGGGGTATTGGAGGAATAACTGCTCTGTAAAACTATGACCAAGAAGATCTAAGGGGAGAGAGAGTCTGATCCCCAGAAAGTCAGAAATCTGAAATGCCATGTCAAAAAGACAGCAGAGGGCACAGCAACTATTCCGCATGATACTGAATGGTAGACACAGGACACTGTACATCTGTCAAACCTGTGGAATGTACAACACAAAGAGTGAACCCTGTTAACTACATGCACCTGCTTATCAAAAAACTGTTCTTTAAAAAAAAAAGAGTGAACCCTAACACAAACTATGGACCTCAGTTAATAATAATGTATCAGTAATCATTCATCACTTTAGCAAACGCAGCACAGCAATGCAAGGTGTTTAATAAAGGTGACTTGGTGGGGGAGGTATATGGGAATTCTCTATGCTCAGTTTTTCTGTAAACCTAAAACTACTCTAAAGGACAAAGTCTACTAATTACAGAAAAGAAATATGGTGGAAAAGGTACTTAAGACTGACAATGAACCCCCGTCTTCCTCCACAGAACAGATGGCAGCTAGGTACTGACCTTCAGGCAAAAATGGGGACTGCCTCTAAAAGATGAAAATGAATAAATTATCTGGGAAGAACTAGGGCACATTCTGTGGCACTGAGTTCCCCAGACTAATCAAAAAGTCTCTTAGGTTCTGTCACCAGGGACTGCAAGCTTAAAAGCTAGTTCCCGGGCCAGTCACATGCGAATGTGTGTGATCACCTGGAGGCCCACCGACAGTCACACATGAGTTTGTCTGCCGTCGCCTTATTCCGGAATACAAGCAGGCGACCAGGAATGACAAGCCATCTGACAGACGGAGCAGGGAGGTGACCCAGGGCATGTGACTCGATAGGCAGAGGAGAACATTAAAGAAGAAAATACTAATTAGATTTCTTAGGAACGTATATCAAACGTGGAAAAAATGTCTTAAAAAAGAAACACAAAGGAGAGCCCTCAGAAATTAAAAAGCTAACTAGCAACACAGAAGAAAACATCCAGTAAGAGAGTCATAAGATAAAGCTGAAGAAAATCCTCAAAAGTAGAGTAGAAAGGGCAGGAGCTGGCGTGAGAGGCAGGTGAAGAGGCGACCCTGCAGGCTGCACGCGAGCCCAGGCCGGCCAGTAGGGCGGCACGACTCTGATGCCCTTCCACGTGCAGGTTAGAGAACAAGGCGGGTGGGGGTCCAGGTCCCCAAGCCCCTATACTACACTTTCAGCTTTTTATTGAGAATGTAAATTTTAAAAGTAGTCTGATTAACACAGGTTATTTATTCACTGTGTCTACCTACTTGACTTGCAGATTACCAAAGGAAATGGTGAAAATGCTAATACTTGGTTGATTTACACAACAAAAATTTTATTTTAAAAAGTCTAGAATAAAATTCTAAAGACTTACTTATGAAACTAATTATTCTCCAGTTTTAGAACTTCTTTACAACATTCTCCTTAATGGACAATAAGCTGAGGAATCACCCCAAGCTGCAAATATTGTGAGAAGAGAAAAGAGAAGCAAGCCCTAATCATGAGCCTTAAGCTTCGGAACTACATGCTGAGGACGTCTATTTTCTATGCTGGTAGAGGCCAGTCCTTGACTTAACATAAGCCAACCGCACTAATAAGCTCAAACACCACTGAGACTTGGTATTCAACGTCCACTGCTGCTAAGATTCCATGTGGTTTTGCCACTTACTAGCAGTTGACAGGGTAGTGTGTAACAGGCCCAGGTCCTCTGAACACAGAATCAAAGCACCTGTGTTCTGAGTCATACCATTCTAGATACATGCACTGGAAAACAGTTTAGTTTCCCAAAAGTCCAGTCTGAGGAAAAATTATCACTGTCACATTAGATGTGGAGAAATACTATTTAAAAAGGATAACTGATTCTTAAGTTATAACATAAAGAATATTCAATAATAATCATCAATAATATAGGCTGAAGGAATTATAATTTCTTAACTTCATGATTATAATTTATCATATTTCTACTGGTTCAATGACAGTCCATAAATCAGGATCATCTAATAATATTCTAAAGTTGAAGACTGATTTTCTTTCACTAATTAAATAACAGAAAGTAGCACCTTGCCTCCATATACAAAACATTCATAGCACCTTTATGGTGCTAAATAATATTCTAAAAATAATGTTCAATTTTAAAGGCCTTCACTGATTACAGACGTGGTAAAGAATAACCTTCCATCTACAAACTTACTAAACTTACCGTTAAAATGTGAGCAGTCTCTGTAGAGCTTGCTGAACTCTGTGGCCCACCCATATGCATCTTGCTGATATGCGTGTTTAAGCTACCTAAACTTTTAAATACACAGCTACATTCTGTACAATTATATGTAGGGCCGTTCTTGACCTTAAAGAATAAAGAAGAAAAAATGACTTTTTACAATTAATTATTGCATAAAAATATTTAAATTATGGCAAGTCATAATTGATCATTCCATTAAAAATAACAGAACTAATCTCTTTAACATTTTTTTATTTTAAATTAGATAGCTCTATAATCAATGACCCAACTCTAATCAATATTGCCAGCAGATTACCTGACATGTCACTGTCTTTTCTATAAAATAGAACTGGTTTAGCAGTTAAAAACAAGAAACAAACAAACATAGCTCTCAGTTATTGTAACTTAGTAAAAATAAAACATCTGAATTTTTCACGTTCTCAGTTTTTTAAACGGTGAAACACAATGTTTAACAATGAAGGCAGATAGATACAACTATCACTCTGACTAAACCTTCCATGGGCTGAAACATGTAAGTTAGAAGGAGGGTCATACAACGTGTACATTTCCCATCACTAACCCCAATATTCCATATCGGCGGCTGCTGATACTGCAAATTTTCCAAGCATTCCAAGAAACGACTACTTTTTAAAACTATGATAAAAGGCAAAAGTGGACTACAGAAAAGGAAAATAAAGGGAACATCCAAGCACCGAGAGAGCCCCTGATTTCATCACTCAAGCCCATGATTCTTATAATCAGGAAGGCTGTCTTGAACACTGATCGGCCCTCTCTGAACGTGGATAAGACTCCCATTCCATTTCCAGCACCTTAAGAACCAGATGTAAGGCACTGGACTCATCACAGGACGAGCCAAAGTTTGCAAACTACTACAGCCTCCTAACCTTTGAAGGTTGTTTCTGGAGCATTCCAAGCCTGGGGGTTTCAGGGCTGGGTGACAGGCAACCGCACCCTGCCTAAAGGGATTTTCTAAATTCAGGAGCACTAATAAGATTCCACAGGGCTACTCTAAGGGTCCAGTGAGCTTTCTGTGGGTGCTACACAATATGCCATTACTCCTGAGCCTCATCTTTACAGAGAGGCAGCTGAATGAGCTGAGTTATACCCAAAACGATTCCTCTGAGCCAAAGGAAACTGCTCTCCACACAGTCATTGCCTCTCTGATAGTCACATGCCCCTCCTCGTATCTTTGGGTCTTAGATAATACAACTTCATTTTTAAAAGTAATTCACTCATATGGAATTCTGAATCTGTTTATCAATTGTTAGGTAGGTTCTTTTTCATTTCAGTGTAACTTAAGGCATTATTCCAAAGAAAAAATTAAAAGCTACCATTTGCTTTTAAAAATATGTTTTCATTCTGCAAAGTAGTTACGTAAAAATAAACTGAGCCCTGAAGAAAGTACTGGTGTTGATTAAAATGTCTTTGTATTCTACCATTAGACTGTAAATAAGACATCAAGTCATGACAATTAATAAAAGCAAAGGTCAACCTGCTTAAGAGAAACACTCCTGAGGCTTTACGGATCGTGTGATCTGTAGACAACGAAAAAATTGCAACCACCCGTTTTGCTGAAACAGGTGACAGGCAGCACGGAGGCAAACAGACCAGGCTCTGTCTGACAAAAAAGGGGCAGGGGGCCAAACACAGGTTCAGCGATACCAGCAAGAGGAACCATACATTTTTCCTCGATTTCATTTCGTCTTTCAATTTTATACACTTGATAGTGTTTCAAGTTTGAGGGATGAAGTAAATTAACATTCAGATTGATGGATCATAACTAGCAAAGGTACTATGATTATTTTCAAACACTCACCAAAGTTTACTGCCTGTAGAAGATATGAGCTCATGTTTTATATTTCTTCCTTATACACTGAGCCAAATTCCTCTCACACACACACACACAAACACATTGAAGAGGGTCTGCTCTAAACAATCTCTTAATCTGCATTTACGAAGTAAAAAGGAATTTCTCAGTTTCACTCATTAACTCAAGCACCACATGCTGCACCCCGTGAATGCCGCACACACGCGGGGTAGGGGGGTTTACCTCCGAGTGAACCCTCTGCACATGTGACTGGAGGTTCCCTTTCTGAGAAAAGGCAGCAGGACAGAAGGCACAGGCGTGGGGCTTTTCACCCGTGTGCTTAACCATGTGCGTCTGCAAGGCCCCCTTCTGGTTAAAAGCTTTTCCACATTCACTGCATTTAAATGGCCTTTCACCTGGAGGGAGAACAAGGGTCAAAATGTAATTCCACACTGTGTAAGCGTCACCTGGATTAAAGGGAATACCTGTTACGCAGATTCAACACCCAAACCTATCCCTCCAGCCAAAACATCTCCCAGTAACTACAGGCTCGTATGTCCTACCGCCTATTCAAAATCTTAAAAGTTAACACCAAATTATACAGCAACCTATGGAAAAGCCAAGACTATAATCCAGATCCAGCTGGCTCTAGGCACATTTCCTTTCTTTAACCTATATCACAGATCACCCAAAAGTAGATGTATTTCATACCTGTATGTATCCTAATATGCCGAGTTAACTGACTCGGCTTTTGAAACGTCTTTCCACAGTGTGGGCATGAGTATGTGAATCCACTCCTGTCGATGTTCCGATTGTATGACCTTGTACTTGACACCCTAGAGTGACATGGGGGGAATACTCATTAGGTCATCTCCCTTGTACTAGAATTTCAAAATTAGAATCCTACCAGGGAGTTTGGCTGGCTGGTCATCAGATGGACATGCCCTAATAAGAACTCAATCACAGAAAGAGTGTGTTTGTGTGCATGCACACACATGCAGGTCCGACACACATTTTGTGTATTCAATATCAGAAAACTTATTTTCTGCATACCTAATAAAAACCGAAATTTAGGTTTTTGGGGAGTGGGAATTGGACTGTGCCTCTGACAAACCTTTACCTGTGGTGGTTAAACGTGGAGACCGCAGGTGTTAACTTCTGCATCGACATGGTAACTGCCACCTCCTTGCCTTCACTACCATCCAACTGCTGACAGTCTCCGAAGCCCTACCTCCCACCACCCGACGCTCCTCCGAGCACCAGCCTAGAACCTAACCCTCCGCCGGGCCTCCCCTTGAGGATAGCTGACTGGCAGCTCAGACCTAGCAGGTCCCAGACACAGCTCTGCACTTAGCCCCACACTGCCCTTTCCAGGACGGGAAACGGCAACTCCCGGCTGTGCAAATTTAAACCTTAGGAGTCACACCGGACTCTCCCTCTGCCGACTTCAAGCCCATCTCCAAAAGCCGCTGGTTCACCCATGAACACCTCCAGATGCTCGCATCTCTCACTCCCCAGCCACCACTGCGCTGGTCGCCAGTTTCCTGCTTCAGCCCCACCCACGCAGCAGCCACAGCCACGCCCAAGGACAGGCAAGCCATCCCCGTGTAACACCCTCCAGGCCTTCCCACTGCCTTTGGATCAAATCATCATCCCCAGGAAGCCGAAGGCCCTACACCCCTGCCCTCTGCAGACTCAGCCCCGGCCCAGGCCTCTCTGCAGTGAGTTCCCGGCGTCCAGGCCCCCTTTCCATTTTCAAATGCAGAAGGCTCACTGCAGCTAAGACTGTGTCAGCTTCTTTGCCTGGAATTCCCTTCCCTAAGTCTGCAGGGCCCCTTGAGGCGTCTCCTTTGAAATGCGCCTCCTCGGAAAGGCCTGCGTAAAACAGCCACCTCACCAATCTGCCCCGTCCTCCCGGCACAGCCCAAGAGCAACCCATTGTATCTCAGCAGGAGCTCTGGGGGCCGCCGTCCCCTGCTGGTCCGCTCAGCTGGTCACTGCCCTCGATCCCGGAAGACCCAGAAGTCAGTGCAGTCAACTGTGTGCTGACCACATAGATATTATCAACCATGTCTCCAAAACCCTCAGACACAGCAAGACTACCTATTGCCTATGTTTAAACTTCATCAGATAAAAATCTAGGGGACAGAGTGCACGCATTACATCTTGGGGTTTAAAGATCACTGGCGCGTTAGGTGGGTACCACATGAGTCAGCAGTGGCACAGCGGAGGAAGAGGGAAACAGAAGAGAAAGCTGACCACATGGAGATGTTCAGTCCACACAGGAGTCTGAAATGCAGAGACTAAGGATAAATCATACCCCGACGTCTGGGCACTTCATAAACTTGCTAATCGGTGTGGGATGCGCCGTCGTGGAGGCTGTGGTGTGGGTGGCTGCTAAAGGTGTAGCTGTTCCCTAAGGCTGCGGCTTGGAGTGGGGACAAGCTCAACTGATCATGTGGCAGGTGAAGAGGCCGCTGGGGTGGGCTTTGACCACCTGTCGGAGAAACGGGCTCAGTGGGCGCGACAGCTGGTCACCGCCATCAGCTGGCCTGAGCACCAAGGGCCGGGAAGAGGTTCGCCTTTGGTCTTATTCAGGAAAGGAAGCGTCAGTGACGATATCAGGAATGGTCAGATACGAAACTTGGAGGACACGTTAAGTTTTACTAGGTTGTGTGCATGTATTTGATCACAGGCACAGTTGCCAATATCACAAACTCTGAAACCAGACTATTATGGTTTAAATCCCAGTGCCTGGAACTTACAGGCTGTAAAACCTTGAGAAAGTGACTTGGTCTCTCTGATCTAGGCTTTCTTATCCGTAAAATGGGTTCAAAAAGTATCCTGGCCTGATGGGCTGTCTGTAATGACCAAATGAAGATTTACATCTAAATATTTATATATATACTAATTATTTTTTCAGTACAGTGTTGGGTACCTATTAAGTTCTAAACAGTCAGTATAAATACATGAATTCACGAAACAGTCAGTATAAATACACGAATTCATAAATACACTGACTTGGACCCGTGAATCCATGTTACACACTCTGTAACCTGTCTATAAAAATGTATCGCCAGTACCATGTGCCGCAGGTTTTAACACTATAATACTAACTAAAAGTTTCTACGCAGCCAGGCTGACTCCTGTCTTAATTTTCAAGCTTATCTTTCATGAACTACATCCTATAAAAGACATCCTCCCATCACACCAAATTAGCTGCTGTGTTCCTATTTCTAAAGCAGCCAATATTTTTAACCAATTACAGCAAAGTATGTCAATTTTTATTTTATATACATATATATAGTATCTGTATATGTATTACTATTACATCATATACCTACATATCATAGTACATATCATATATAAAACGCACTGCACCGACCGCTCTTTAACGGCGCCCAAGGGAGGCTCGCACCTAGTCTTGCAATGAGTCTTCACGTGCTCCTTCAGCTGCGACGGTGTCTCGAACTCGCCGCCGCAGGCCCTGCAGGCCCGGGCCCGCCGCCCCGCCAGCTCCTGCCGGTGCTCCTCCATGTGCACAGCCAGCTGGCTCTGCAGCGTGAACTCATCCCCACACTCAGAGCAGATGAGGTTCTGCCAGAGAAAGAGGGCGAGCAGAGCAAACATTTCAGAGCAAGGACATCTTAGAAACCTAGGATTGTAAAGGGCTGATACACAAATTATACTTTCTTCTGGAACAAACACTTTTTTCCTTCTTATATCACACTCGAGGTGTGAATGGCGTTCACAGGGTGCAGAAGATAGCTCTTGAGTCACTGAGTCAACCTGAGAACGTATTTTCTACATTGTAATTGCAGATGGCGAGTCTGTTCCTTGCCTACAGGACTTTGCTTCTGTTGACCTCAAATGGTGCTCAATGCCCGGGGTAACCCTACAGCCCACCCCATATAACGCACCCCTTCTCCCGGCCCCTGCGGCCCCAGGTCCCTGTCAAGAGGCCCTGTGAGCTTGGACGGCCGCCTCCTGCGGGCGAGTGTGCTCGTGAGCTTGTGCCCATGTGCCATTTCCCCGAACACCCTGTAACACCCCTTGACGCAGGAAAAGATGCAAACTTCAATGATTACGTGAATTTTAAGAAAATATTCCCAAGTAATTTTTTAAAATACAGTCTTTTTCTGGTTTACTTTTCTGGTTTTGAGGTTTATTTTGACAGAGTAGTGACCATGACAGATTTTAGACTATTAATCCCAATAGAGTAGTAAGGAAAGATTAGCTTACAGTGTTCTAGAAGTAAAACCCTGGAAATAGAACACCTTACATTAAGAAGCTAATTGTAGTTTGCAAGTACATATGAGAAAATATGTTTAGAGTTATTTTTAAATCGATTTTACTGAAGTATACTTTACATGCACCCATTTAAGTGTAACGTTTTACCTCTCCAGTCCATCACGTGATGATTTCAGTGTGACCCCAGAAGGCAACCTCAGTCCTTCTTCCAAGGTCTCAGGGGCATTGTGCTGCTATGCTGCAGACCCAGCTCACTGCTAAGCATTCTGCCTGCCTTTATCTTGTCGTGTCTAATCCCCAGCCTCCCATGAATCCTCACTTTTCCTCAACTCGAAGCTCTGCATGTTCTACCAGCCACGCTGCGTTTGCTCAGCCTCGGAAGGAAGGCAGGCGCTCCCGCAGGTTCTCTGACAAAACAGTAAATGGTGAAATACTTTAAAAAGCAGTACTTTCCCCAGCTGCCACTCGTTGAGTTCTGCTGTACATCCAGACCACGTCATGTCAGAGTTTCTCGGAGACAGCATGTGACTGGAGACAAGCATCGTCCTCAGTCTTCCAGTGATGGTGCTTAGACCACAATGTAAAGCCATTTAAAGGCCAAGTTTGCCCTCTTACTCTTGGCTGGGTGCCTCTGCCTTTTGTTCCTCTGTGTCTCTTTCCTTGCCTTCCTTGACTACTTTTAGAATTTTTGAGAATTCATTTCGATTCATTTATGGTCTTTTTCAGTACAGCCCTTTGTAGGTTCTCTAGGTTCTCGTAATCGGCATGACCTACTGGCATCACCATCTCACCTCTTTCAGGGAAGTGCAGAAACCTCATTTCCATTCGGGCCCCTTTAACCCTCTCCCGCTTTTAAATAGAATTGTCCTAGGTATTCCCCCTATGTACACTGAGCGTAGTTTATGGTAATTTTTGCTTCAATCAAGTATGAAGTAAGAATTCGTGAGGAAGAACATGTATTATATTCACCCCAGTTTTTATTTATACTCACTCCAGAGGTTTGTATTAGGGTTCCCCAGAGAAACAGAACCGACAGGATGTGTACATACAGAGAAAGAGATTTATTGCAAGGAACGAGCTCATGGGGCTGGAGGCCAGCAGGCCCCCCACCTGCAGGGTGGGCTGGCAGTCTGGAGGCCCCAGAGGGCCGTGGTACGGAGGAAGTCCAAAGGCGTCTGCTGGAGAATTCTCTCTTGCTGGAGGGCCAGGCATTTTGTTCTACTCAGGCCCCCAACCGAATGGGTGAGGTCCACTCACATTACAGAGGAAAATCTGTTTACTTAAAAGTCACTGATCGAAAAGTTAATCTCACCCAAAACACCCAAGCTGCCCACAGAATTAAATTCCCTCTGCTCTTGGCATTCTGACTTCCCAAGCCTCCTCCTGACATCACTTCCTTTCTGTCTGGGTAACTTCCTTTAGCCATTTCTTAAACGGTAGGTCGGCTAGCAACGAATTCTGTTAATTTTCATTCACCTGAAAATGTCTTTATTTCCCCTTTATTCCTGAAGGACATCTTCACCATATATAAAATTCACAATGGACAGTTCTTTTTTTCAATCACTGGAGAGCATCCCACTTCCTTCAGGCTTCGGATGAGCCGACTGCCATGTGAACTCGTGTGCCCCTACAGGCAGCGGGTCATTTCTCTCTAGCCTCTTCTGAGGTATTTTCTTGTCTTCAGTTTTCAAATGTTTGATTATGATGTATCTTGGTGTAGATCTATCTGTGAGTCCATTCAGCTTCTCAAATATGTGAAGTTATGCCTTATAACAAATCTGGGTTAATTTCCTTCAAGTATATTCTCGACCTCACACTCTTCTCTATCCTTCTACAATTTCCATGATACAAATGTTGGCTCTTTTATCATTGTCCCAAGTTCCCTGAGAATCAGTTAATTTTTTCACTCTATTTTCCTCAGTTATTTGGTGTAAGTAATTTCTATTGATCTGTCTTCAAGTTCAGATTCCTCTGTGTTTCCCATTCCACTGCTGAGTGCTCCAGTTGACTTCATTTCAATCACTGGATTTTCCAGTTTTGTAATTTCCCTTTAGTTCTTCTATCTTTTATTTTTTTCATTTGTTTCAAGACAATTCATTACACATTTTTTATGGTGTCTGCTTTAAAATGCTTGCTAAGCAATTCCAACATGGGGGTCATCTCAGTGTTGGTATTTGTTGTCTTTTCCCCTTGGAGCTGGGGCTGTCCTGGTTCCTGGTCTAAAGGGTGATTTTCAGTTGTGTCTTGGACATGTGGGGTACCACACTGAGATTCTAGATCTTAGGTCATCTTACAGCAGGCAGTCAGCACTTAGCCTGTTCAGATGTGGCCCAGCAGCAGGGGGGAGGTGAAGGCTCACGTCACAAGGCCCCACTGGCGCCACCAGTGATCCCAGGGGAGGAAAGCTTGGTGCAGACCAGTCCATCCTGCATCACCTGACTGGGTCTCAGGCTCAGCTCCCCCAAGCCTCTGACACTGCCTGCTTCTGATGAATGGTCAGCTTTCAGCCGGGCTCTGCTAATACCGTCAGCCGGGGGAACCCAGCTCCTCCTCCTTCTGCCAGGAGACGGATGAGAGACTAGCCCCCTGCTCAGTCCCAGAGAGCCGGGCAGCGGGCCATCAGCTTCCGAGGCACAGGAGCGGGAGGGGCTATAAGTCACTCTCCACTTGGCTTCCCTGAGCAGTTTTCCAGTTGGTGACTGACTGGAGTGGGGTGGGCATCGTCAAAAAGATTTTGCTATTAGACCACTCTTTTCCTGGTTTTGGCTAAGGGGAACCAGCTTTTCTTGGAGAGATTTTCATCCATGCCTGTTGGCAGAAGGCTTCTCCAGCACCCTGGCCTGGTCAACTCACTGCCACGTTGCTCCTCAAGTCCTGAAGCCTCACAGACGCCTGCCCTCTTCTTTCCACCTTCTGGAGTCTTTCTACATCTATTGGCTGTGTCGTCACTAAGTAGGGTCAGTTGTAAAAGGGCCAACCTGGGATAAAAGAGCTGTTCCATCTTAGCTGGATTCTTAAACATGGCTAAAAGCCAGGAGTTAATCCTGTAGCTATTACTCATACACCACACTCAAGTCAATTAACTGAGGTGTAAAAAACATATCAAATAGACAAAGGTAGCCAAAAATCTATTATTTTAACATATACAAAGAATGGTCATTGTGCTCAGAGATACCTATTTTTCTTTTCCATATTATAGTAATAGTTTCTTGGCTGAGCATATGGCTATCCAATCAAAACCCTATTTCCCAGGCTTCCTAAGCACTAAGCAGCCTGTGTGATGACCATTCTGCTCAGTGGTGTGTCGGCACAACTGACAGGAGCTTGCGGACCAGGCCTCAGAGGGGCAGAAGGGTTCCTCTTCCTCCCCTTTTCACTGTGAATCATGCGACAGAAGTAACATTTAAAGCCCTAGACTGCTGGGTGAGAGAACAAAACAGTGAACCTCTACCCTGATACAGTCATTAAAAAAAAAGAGCACCCTATATTTTACATGATGCTGAACACTTCTCACATTTGAAATAAACTCAGCCAAGCCCTTTTTTTCTTCTGTTCATGTAAAACCCCTAGTCTTAAATTCCTGTTCCACATGTTTTTGACAGGACCTTCCTGCACTGACTTAGGAAGGTCAGGTCACTGAGCACCACGGCCCCGCTTCCGGATGCTGGAGGCGGAGCCCAGGAAGGTGAGGACCTCGCAGCGCCCGGCAGCAGCCTCAGCCCACAGCCCTGCAAAGCCTCTCTCCTGACTACCCCAGCCTTTTCTTCTCCTGGGACTATTTACTGACCTGAGGGAGAACCTGTTATATTCAAAAAGAGGAAACAGAGGATGGGTAGTAGTCACAGAAACATAGAGGCGAGTGATTGTAGGAAACACAGAGTCCTCAAAGGAAGTGAGAAACTATGGAATATGTACATTCTTTCAACCACAACAGTCAAAGACAAAGGCAACTGGAGTTTTACCAAAGAAAGAAAGGGCTCCGATGAGCTGAGCTGCCTGCAGTGTCAGGCCTCCCGCCTTACGAGACAATGGCATGACATTGCTGAGCAGCGTAACAAAACCCAACACAGCACATGAGGTGAACAGGGGACAGGAATCAGAGGGGAAGGAGGGGAAGGCCATTCTGGGGAACAATCTGGAAAAGAACTTGGACAAAGTGTGTGGGAGAGAAAATAGAATGAAGGGAAGATTTTGAAAATAATGTATAAAAACCCAAGAACTTCTGGAAATGATGAATTACTGTTATTTCTCTTTGTAGTAATGGAGGAAGTCAGAGCAAATTTTAAAAGGTTTCTCTAAAGAATGGAAGGCAGTAAATCTCACTGCCCTGGTGACTGTGGGTGGGT